TTGGGAGTTCTTTCTCCCTCCTCCTCTCTCTCTCTCTCTGGTGAGCATGCAAATCCTCTGGCAATTAAAAGACAAAAAAATAATAATAACAACAGGTGATCTTAAGATAAAAAATCATGAGGATTGTGTAAAAATATTTAAGATTTGGAATATAAAATGTTAAAGAGAGGCACCCTGATTAGACATGTCTATACAGATGTACAGACATCTTTATTCAATCTTAGGTTTTATCATTAGTTTCTATTCATAGTGTCTAAGTTTTCCTTTCAACACTCCCTTTAATGTTTTTGCTGAACATTCCCATTCTGAGTGAGGCTTTCCCCTGCTCAGCCTTTGTCACTCTTTGTAAGACTGTAATCCCCATCCACCAGCATTCCCTCTCTTGTGTTTTCTTTTTTCTTTTTCTTTTTGCCATAGTACTTATCACTATCTGACAATCTCTAGAGAGATTTTTGTGTTCTCTGCTATATTCCCAGCACATAAGCTCAATACAACAAATGAACAATAGAACCAATCTCAATACAACAAAAGAACAATAGAACCAATCTTTTCAGTTTGATCTCACCTTTACAAACCTGCTATTTTAGGCCAATCAACCAACACATCTATGTTTTGGCTAACAAATACCTGTTTTGCTTGTGCTATTCTGCTAGCTCATGATGGTCATTATTCCTCTGGTCAGTATGTATAAATCCTACCCATTTTTTTTGTTTATTAAAATACTGAGTTTATTTCACGTTTATTTTTATTTTGTCTCCCCACCATTTCCATGTCTGACCACCACTACTATGTCCTATCCTAACAGTCCAACATTCTCAAAACCAAGCAAAGGGTGGAGTTCTAGCTTTAAAACTAAACAGGTGGGACCAGCAGATGGCATAATGGTTATATCACTGGACTTCCACGTAGTCAACTACCGTTCAAGGCCCTGACTCAGCAGCTTAAACTCAGGCTAGGCATATGTGAGTGCGTTCCCAAAATCCTGAAAGGAGAATGGAGGAGAAGGGATTATGGTATGGCCATCCCACGTGGCGGGGGTTGATTTCTTGCTTTCTGTCTCTCTCTCTGGTGAGCACATGTGCCCTATAGTAAAAATCTCTCTAGGAAAAAAAAAAATTAAACAGGCATTCTGGACAGCACATTTTTGGCAATGAAACCTAGACAACATTTCTCAAACACAGTAGTGAAAGTTCTCATTCTGTATTATAAAAAAAGACAGCCAGATATCAACTCTCATGGAAATAAGATGGAAAATTTTAACAAATTGTTTAAACTATTTTCTTAAAGAGACTTCCTCCACAGCGAGATCTTGAATAGATTCCTGCTCAGTCATCTGGAAGCAATTCTTCACGTAATTGATGAACGTGGCTTCCACTCTGGAAAGAGAACCACCTTTTTCTATCCTTGCTTGCATTTTTGCTTTAATGTCTTCTACAGAACTAGGTCCTTTCAGTGTTTTAAAAGTTATTTTTCTTTTTAAAAAAATTATTGACCTTTCAATCTTTGCCAGGAGAAAATCATATAGATTTCTTCACTGGAGTTTTTTCTTTTTCTTCATTTTTTTAAAAAGAATTATTTTATTTAACTTTATTTAATTGTTTTAATTTGACCAATAAAGGACAGAGAGAGGGGGTGGGAGTGAGTGAGGAAGCTGCCAGCTCTGGGACTCGAACCACAGTCAGCTACATGGGAGTCCAGTGCCCTTAACCACCATGCCACTTGCAGACCCCTGTTGCCTTATCTTCCAAATTATCATCATCATCTTCATCAGCAAGTTTTACTTTTTTCTGTGGAACCTAGCTACTATCTCCAAAGGCAGATCGCTTTCCGGATATACTTAAGAGTTTAATATCCTCCTCCTTTTGGGACTCTGCATCTTCCTTCACAGCTACCAAGTGCTATCCACTAATATGCACAGGCCTTAAACCTCACTTCAACCTTAAGATCACAGGTGGTATTATTTCAAGGACTAGAGGGAAACAGTTGGCTGTACATTTTCAATGTTGCCAGTGTTACTTTAATTGGACTGCCTTCATAATTCATTGCCTCTGCTTCAAAAATGTGTAATTCATCCTTTGTACCAGCACTTAAACTGATAATTCTTTTCTTTTTCTTTTCTGAACTGACCATTCTTAAAGATAATTGGTGTTGATTTTCATCATTGTTAGCCTTTAGTTCACAACCAGAAAGACAGTTCTGGAGCCTCAGGGGGTTCATGTCTATGTCCATTGAATCTTCTATTGTGGTGGTGGCATGCACTTAGGTGGGAGAGAAAATGGATGGATAAATGACCATGGCTCCTAAAATCAGTTGTGCAGGATGGAATTACTCCAGGGACTGAATCCTACCTTTTTTTAAAAAAAAAAAAAAAAAAAAAGATTTATTCTTATTTAATTTTAAAAAAGATTTATATTTGATTTTATTTACTCAATCATTTCCTTTTTTAAAAAAATTTTGCCCCCCCCACACACACACACAGAGGTGCCCCCATTAAAGGGGGAAAAAAAGGAAAAAGGAGAAAGAAAAAAAATGTAAATTATAAGACAGGTGGTTTAAGTGGCCCCATAGCCTAGTGGTTAAGGGAACTGAATCCTACATGTCTGACAGCTGTTCAATCCCAGCTCTGGTAGCTTGGGAAACATGCTAGGCACATGTGTGTGCATGTTCAAAATCCTGCCAGGATAGAAATGGGGGAGAAGGGACTGCAGCATGACCATGTCCCATTGGGAGTTCTTTCTCCCTCCTCCTCTCTCTCTCTCTCTGGTGAGCATGCAAATCCTCTGGCAATTAAAAGACAAAAAAATAATAATAACAACAGGTGATCTTAAGATAAAAAATCATGAGGATTGTGTAAAAATATTTAAGATTTGGAATATAAAATGTTAAAGAGAGGCACCCTGATTAGACATGTCTGCATTTTATTTATTTTTTTAAATACCTATTTTTGAAGACTACTGATCTTTTTTTTTTAATAATTATTTATTTTATTTTATTCATTCATTCATTTATTTTTTAATTTGACCAGAGAGAGACAGAGGGTGAGAGAGGGAGAGAGAGGAAGTGAGAAAGCAAGCCACCAGATTCAGGACTTGAACCCTGGTCAGCCATGTGGGAGTGTCCAGTGCCTTAACCACCACGCCACCTGCTGGTCCCATAAGGCATTTTATTTAACTGTATTTATTTATTTAAATTTGACCTGTGCGTGCATGCGCGTGTGGGTGTGTGTGTGTGAGAGAGAGAGAGAGAGAAAGAGAGAGAGGGAAAATGAAAAAGCAAGTCACCAGGTCCAGGACTCAAACCACAGTCAGCCATGTGGGAGTCAGCACCCTTAACTAACATGCCACCTGCCGGCATGCGTATGCATGCGTGTGTGTGTGTGTACACATAATTTTTTTTTGAGAGAGAGATTTTTTTGCTACAGGGTGTGTGTACTCGCTGGAGAGACAGAGAAACAGAAGGTGAGAAATCACACCCCAAGGGGGATAGCTACACTGCAATCCTTTCTCCTTTATTCTCCTCTAGGGATTTGAGCACACACATACAGGGCCCGACATGAGTTTCTTTTTTCTTTTTTTATTAAGGAATTGTTTTATTTAATTTTATTCATTGTCATTACTTTATTCTATTGTATATTGTAGTGGACTAGAGAGAGACAGAGAGAAGGAAAGTGAGAAAGCAAGCTGCCAGGTCCGGGACTCAAACCATGGTCTGCCATGTGGGAGCCCAGCTGCCTTAACTACTACACCACCTGCTAACCCCTCCATGTGAGTTTTAAACCGCTGGGTCTAAGACTAAAATTGCATCAATTATGTGGGAGTCCAGCGATGTAACCATTATGCCATCTACTGGTCTCAAAGTTTGCTATTTTTAGTTGGTGAGATAGACTACAAGGAAAATGAATACCCTTAATGATAGCAGACGCTCAGTAAAGTATTTATTTGACAAAAAAAATTTGAAGGAAGCTCAAGTTTTAAAAGAGCCAAAGACTATCTGCTGCTTATCTAACTAGTGGCAACAAAAGCAACAGTGTTGAGCCCCCTGTTGTCCATCTACACAGCACTCTACCTTCTGTTCGCCTCCTCTTGGAGCGGGGATAGCCTTGAGGGCTGGCCTCTGCTGTGTTCTCTACAGGGTTGAGGGAGTGGCAATAGGTGGTGACTGGACCCCAGGGATGACCAGGTGTCTGGGAGATATGCTGCAGACACTTTTCCAGGTAGGAGAGTCTAAGGGGTGAGAAGAGACTGAAGTGGATATAGGCCCCTTTCCCCAAATCTACATGTTTCTCCACCCACCCATTAACTTACAGCAGTTGCTTGTCCTGATGGAAGAGTCGAGGGGAGAACTCTGAAAGGAGTTCCAGGAATGCCAGGTTTGGGGGCTGATCCGATGAGTCAGCTGGAGGAAGCTCAGACAAGGAGAACTTGATGCCTTCCCTTGGTTGGGCAGAATTACTTTAGAAAGGTAATCCCTTCCCAACTGGCCTCCCAGGGCTGGGACATCCTGTTCAAGAGTATCCTCCCCTATACTACTACCAACCTTGACATGTTTGCACTCCACCTTCCCTCTAAGACCTCAGCTCTCCCCTTACGTGGGCTCCAATCAATCCTTCCTTACTTGTGTAGCATGACCACAAGGTCACGGTTCTGCAGTTGCTGGGGTCCAAAGCTCAGGGCAAACCTTCGGGCCAAGTCCCTCATTTCAATGAAGGCTGGAAGCTCATTCAAGCCTTGGGGCCCATGCTCCTGCAGCAGTTCTGTGTACAACTGTATTCAGGAGACAGATACATTGGGAAAGAGGAATAAAGTAGAAATAGAGAAGCACAACATTCTCTTCTGTACTCAGAAACTTGCAAAGGAATGGGACACCATCTACTACTTTTAATCTGCAGCAGTCTTCACCTCTACTCTTTAACAATAAATAAAAGCACCTATAGTAGCTCTGCAGTTTTCCTCAGCTTTGGTTGGTAGCCACTGCTGGGTTGTGGCTTCCCGTTCATGGAGGGCAAGACAGCAGCTCCAGCACCTCGTGCCCTGCCACCCACACTTGGGTGCCTGCTGCCTCACTGCACCCCTGAGCCCGCCACTTCTCGCCTCAGCACCAGGCCACAGCCACCACAGCCCAGTGAGGAGCACAAATGCAGGCCATCAAGTGTGTGGTGGTGGGAGATGGAGCCTTAGGTAAAACTTGCCTACTGATCAGTTTTACAACCAATGCCTTCTCTGGAGAGTATCTTCTCACTGTCTTTGAGAACCATTCTGCCTGTGTTATGGTGGATGGAAAACTGGTGAATCTGGGCTTATAGGATACAGCTGGACAAGAAGATTATGACAGATTATGCCCCCTATCCTATCCACAAACATATGTGTCCTTAATTTGTTTTCCCTTGTGGGTCCTGCATCATTTGAAAATGTCTGTGCAAAGCGGTATTCTGAAGTATGACACCATTGTCCCAACATTCCCATCATCCTAGTGGGAACTAAACTTCACCTTTGGGATGATAAGGACATGACTGAGAAACTAAGGAAAAGAAGCTGACTCCCATCACCTACCCACAGGGCCCAGTCATGGCTAAGGAAGTCAGTGCTGTAAAATACCTGGAGTGCTTAGTGCTCACACAGTGAGACCTTAAGACAGTATTTGAGGAAGCTATTCGAGCAGTTCTCTGCCCACCTCCCATCAAGAAGAGGAAGAGAAAATGTCTGCTGCTGTAAACGTCTGAGTCCCTTGTTCTTGGTCCTGTCCCTCAGAACCTTTGTACACTTTGCTCAAGAACAGTGAAGCCTTCACACTCGATGCCAAGGTTTTGTTACAGATTAATTTTTCCATAAAACCATTTTGAACCAACCAGTAATTTTAAGGTTTTTGTTTTAAATATGAGTACAAACTCACACTCTATTAAAATTTAGCCCTAAAATGACAAGCTTTCTTAAAGCCTTATTGTTTAAAAGCACCTATTTTCTTGCTCAGATAAAGAGTTGCCAAAATACCTTCTGAATTAAGTTGCCTGTTGTGCTAAGGACACTAAGCACTCAACTGCTTAAAGACCTTTGTCTTTAAGACAACTAGTTTCTGATGTTAGGAGGTGGAAACTTTCTAAGTAGTTTTTGGATAAGTAAAACAGAACAGCCTCCTTAAAGAAATGCTGCCATTTAATGCATCAATAATTTATCAACTTATGTTCATTTCATAACCTTGTACTATATAATGGAATAAATCTAACAGCTCAACTTTCTGGATCAATCTATTTAATTTTGTGTTTTTCTATAGGGTGTGTGCGCTCGCCAGAAAGACAGAGAGAGACAGAAAGCGAGAAATCACCCCCCCCAGGGGGATGGCCACGCCTCAATCCCTTCTCCTCCATTCTCCACTTGGAATCTTGGGTATGCTCGCACACACGCCTGGTGTGAATTGAAGTCACCGGGTTTGGGACTTGAACCGCAGTCGACTACATGGGAGTCCAGCGATGTAGCCATTATGCTATCTGCTGGTCCCTTGTAGTGAATATTTTTAAAAAATAGTTGACTAGCTTCTGCTGCAATTTTGAACAGAATTCTTGTTCGTGTGTTTCCTTTAATGAAGTATTCTGTTCTTACTCATGGGTGTGCTGGGGTGGAGTATGTGAAACATTTGATACGATTAATGGATGAAGACAGTATTTTGACAAAATTTTAAGTGGTTATTAATTTACACTATACTGTACATGGAATAATTAAACTGCATAACAGTGCCACAGGTAAAAAAAATTTAAAGGTTAATTTTTGCATATGCAGTAGATGATGAAGAAAGGTCGGTATTTCCAGTACGTGTGAAACTTGTTTTCCTAAGCTTTTCCTTTTTCTTACCGCTCCCATCCCTCCCAAAATCAGGCACTTAATTCATCTTTGAACTGGTCATTCCCATAGTTGCTAAGTCATTCCCATAGTTGCACTTAGTAAGTGCATTTCTTATAGAGCCCCTTCTTAATGAGCAATATGTCTCCTTGTATTAAAAAATCTTTCTGATAATGCATTAGACTTTTTTCGGTGGATTAATAAAAGTGCACTCCTATTTTCATGTTGCTTTATTCAAGGCTAATAAGTGCTTTCCTTAGTTTTCTAGTAACTAGGCATAAAAATCATATGTTGCAGCTTTATGGTTTTTAAAACATTTTAGATATTCTAAACTATGAACCTTAACATCACTGTCCTGCCAGATCACCAACGATGTCGCTTGACTAACACTGATCCTCTTTACCTCCCCCACATGGCCACATGCTTCTTGTTGGTTTGCCTAACACTGTTCCTTTGGGTCTGTGAGGTTCTGTAAACTGTGCTAGTGCTAATGATGTTCTGTACAACTTACTCACTGGCAAGAATACAATGTTGGACCTTTCAACCACTAGAACAAAAATTTTTAAACTGACAGTTGCAGAATTGTGTTTTTACATTGATCTTTTGCTAATGCAATGTCATGTATGACTTAATAAATCCTTAAATCATAAAAAAGCATCTATAGTAAATGCAGGATGGTCTGAGATAAAATAGACTAAAAATTAATCAGGCGTTCTCTATTCCCTCTTAGATGATGCTGATTCCTATTACATTGGGGTGGAAATGCCTAGTCGGTTTAAAATTTACTTTCTATGTCTAGTGTGGTGGTGCAGCAGTAGTGTAATGCTCTGCAATGCTGCAAGCCATGTGGATGACTGGAGTTCAGTTCCTAGGTAGATCTGTACCCACTGGGAATGTGCACAGCCTGTGAGCTGGATGCTGGATGGCTCATGGGCTAGGAGACAGAGGGTGTTGCACAGCTAGACCCTGTTGGAGGTGCTTGTCCCTCCACCAAGAAATAAATAAACCTAAAAAACAAAAAATACTTCCTAAAGATCTCTTAGGGAGCCAACCAGGTGGCATGGTGGTTAAGGCAGCTGGATCCCACATGGATGATGATTGTGTGGTTCAAGTTCCAGACCCAGCGGCTTGAAAAACATGTGTACATGCATGCTCCAAATCCGGACAGAATGGAGGAGAAGGAATTGCAGCATGATCATTTTACTTTCTCACTCTTTTCTCCTCAGTGCAGGATCTCATCAGACCCTGGCTAGTACACACACCATATACCTTATTAAAAAATAGTAATCATAAAAAAAACAAGTCCCACTAGGTATGAAAGAAATTGCCACATAAAGTAAAAGTCAAAATAAAAAAGTTCCTGCTCTTAAGAGTCATACATTCTTGGGGCCAGCAGGTAGCATGGTGGTTAAGGCCTAGACTCCTATTTGGCTGGCCACAGTTCAAGTTCTGGACTTGGTGGCTTTCCTGTCTCTTTTTCTTGTGCATGTGCACTGTGGCAAACTGAATAATACTACTACTAATAAATAAAATTAAATAAATAATTCTTTAAAAAACAAAGTCATGCATACTAAGTGGTTGAAGGTGGGACAGATAGTTGGGGACTACAGGAAAAGCAAGTCATGGTTCTCTGGAGGCCCTCTAGGCAGAAGGGAGTACCTGCTTGAGGCTCAGCAGCAGGATTCGGGAACAATGACTTCGGTCAATCTGTCTTGCTCTAGTTAAGGTTTCCTTGATAATGTCACCATAGTCGTTGTAGAACTGCGGAAGAAGAGATGGAGAAGGTAGAGTCTGACTACAGAAAAAGACTTTGTGTGTTGTTTCTTCCTTCACATCCCTAATCAAGTCTCCTCAATGTGTGCTGAAGAGGGAAACATGAATCTAGGCACAAAGTAACTCAGACTAGACCTCATCTCTGAGAAGTAACTTCAGGTGCAATGCCCCCCAAAAATCAGAGTTTAGGTATACAAATTAGGAAAGAATCTCTGCCCCAAGCCCAATTCTTGTAGGAGAAGAGCAGTAAGCTTGTAGCTGCCCACTCCCACCTAGCACTGATGCCATCACTATTCATCTTTCCCCCTCAGAGGTTCGAAATACCAGAACTTTGGTCTGTTTTGCTTACTGTTGTGTCTTTAGTGCCAGGAACCATGTCTAGCACATAGTCAGTGCTCAATAAACAGAAATCAATACAGTTATGGACTGAGGAAAATGAGGTACATAACTAGGTATCTTCTGAAGATTGATTCCGCTTCTATTCTTTTTACTCTTCTTATAGTACTTCATTCTACAGTCTGAACTAAGACTGGGGGAGGGGGGGAGTATCTAGAGAAGAAGAATAAGCTGTTTCCCTCATCCCATGAACTTCTCAGCAGTTTTTTCTTCCTAATTATTTACTACCAAGTCTCTTTTCTTTGTCCCTTTATCTTCCCATCCTCCTTCTCCTTTTCTGTTTTTTTTTTTTTTTGGAGAGGTCTTTGCTATAAGGGCGCATGCGCTCGCCAGACAGACAGAGAGAGACAGAGAGACAGAAAGCGAGAAATCACCCCCCAGGGGGGATGGCCACGCCACAATCCCTTTTCCTCCATTCTCCTCTCAGGATCTTGGGCACGCACGCACACGCGCCTGGCCTGAGTTTAAGCTGCGGGGTCCGGGACTCGAACCACGGTCACCTACGTGGGAGTCCAGTGACATAGCCATTACACTAACTGCTGGTCCCCCTCCTTCTCCTTTAAGCCTGATGCCATCAGTTTCCCTACTCCCCTCCTTTCTATAGTGATATAATGCTTGAAATCATGGCTGTACCCAACCTGGTCCCCCTCCTCAATTTATGTAGGGCCCCACTGTACTTTGTTGTAGTGTTTGAAAACATCTGAGGCTGCATCCATGTCCAGCACTCCATATAGCAACAGCTTGCAGAACCCAGCTAGGAGGCGGCGCCGCTGGTGGAGCTGCTCTATTTGTGACTGATCCTCCTGGGAATGACCTGGATCACAACAAATGAAAAACAGAATCCCAGACTTGGGCCTCCTGTCCTGTTTCTGAGCCAAGTCCAAGCTCCAAACCCTTTCAAAACCCCAGGAATAGGGTCACATGTACCACTGCCCAGGTCTCCAGGCTGGATGAAGACATGGTCCATGAGGAAGCTGGCTAGCTCAGACTGGAGAGTAGCTTCAGGAAAAAAGACAAGGGGCCTGAGGAAATCGCGTCCCCCTACAATCATCTGAGGGCTGAAGATGAGAAGTAGATCACTTAATAAGACAAAAGCCTGTTGGGGGTGGGGAGAGAAAGAATGCTTAAAAATGACAGCATAGTTACCCAAAACAGAAATAACAAGAGCTCATTTCTCCTCAGTGCAGGATCTCATCAGACCCTGGGGACTCTTGCCTCCTTGATTCCACCTGAGTAAATGCTCACCTGCTCTTGGATCTCAGTATCTACATCTGAGAGGCAGTTCTGGCAGAGTTCGCAGAAGGCCACCATTCTGTCCTTCAAACTCAACAGCTGTTTCTGTGGAGACAGCAGCTTGAAGGGCAAGAATGAAGATATAGGTTCCTCCATTCCCATTACCTCTGCTCAGAGCCATACTCACCTGGGAAGCACCTGATTCAGAAATATGGGTGAGTGTCCAGAGAATGGAAAAATAGACAAGAGTCAAGGCTGGCAGGATCACCTGAAACAATGAGATGTTAGAAAAGTGAGACTTTGGTCAAGAAAGTAAGGGGCAGGTGGTGGGAGACAGGGAGAGAGAGGTGAAAGGAAGCAGGCAGGCAGGCAGGCAGACACTGAAAGACACACACATACACAGAACAGTGATGAGAGAAAGTGAGATTGGGGATTCTAATTTCTTTTCCAATAGAAAGGAATTAATACTCTAGACGATCTTTAGAGGCTTCTATACTGGATAAAAATGCCACCTCACCCTAATTTACTCAAAGTATCCTAGAATCCCTCAATATTATCTTTCACTCCCAGAAAACCTGACAAGATAGCTGTTTTCAGGCCCTGGAAATAAAGTCCACCCTTCAAGGGAGGAATGGAAGAAGCAACTCTACCTGATCATCTTCCCTGTCTCCTCTCCATACCACAGGACTGGACCCACTAGAGAGAGGTGGCCATCTAGGACACAGGTCTTTAAATACTCTTCTCCTGTCTTCATACATCCAGCCTGCCTGCCTGCCTACCTGGTGAGGAACCTCTCCTGTGTCTACAGCTTTCTGGAGGAGTCGGTTGCATGGCTCATAGAGCTCCCATCGAGTTAGGTCATGAGCGCTGTGGGTAGCAAGAAGGAAACATTACTCCAAAACAGAACAAATGGAATGAACCCTATAGACATGGAAGACAAAGAGGAGGAAACAGAAGAGGAGTTGCTTACTTGTAGAAAGCAGAGAGCCGCTTCAAAGTGGCTGCCAGACTATACACCTCATCTTCATCTAAGAAGGATGACTGAGGAAGAAGGTCCATAAGATGATTTTCCAAAGAATTCATCAATCTATGTTCCCCATCCTGTGGCCTTCTCCCACCCTTGTTTGAGGTGTCCCTTCATTTAGCCCAGCTCCTACCTGAAGGAGCTCTTCAAGTTCTTGCTGGAAGCGGTCGGTCAGTAGATCCACTAGCTGGCTACGGGCAAAGTCCACCCGACTGAAGAAAGTGAACTCAGGATTACAAAGCAGATAGAGGGCATGAGCTCCAGCTTCAAGCACCACTGGCTCCACATGCTTCACCACCACCTCCTGGAGTTGTTGCAAGAGCAGCTCCAAGTGCTGGGGAAAAAAGGTGGGGGAAGACAGTGTTCTGAAGTGGGGGTTGGGGAGGACAACTCCTAGAGCAGAGTAGAACTAGAGAAGATAAGTAGTAGGGCTGGAGGCACTAAACTGCCAGCATAAGAAAAAAAAAATGGGATTATTGATTTTTCTGGAGCCCAGTTTCTTAAGCCAGACACTGGCAGTAGAATCCTTGATCCTGGCAGGAGAGAAACAAGGTGTAGGAAGCATTTCTTCTTGCCTTCTCACCTTCTCCAAGCGCCTAGTGCAGTAGATGTTGAGGTCAAAGTAGTTGAGGAGCTGGAGCAGGGGAGCAACCTTTTCTGCATCAGCTGAGAACTGTAATGATTAAGGGGGACACCAACTTAATAGTTAATACACTGCTAATTCTTACCCCTAAGCTTCACTGGAAGCCATTTCCCTCCACCCACTTGGTTTGCTGACTGGTGGGTGGGGCAGCTCTACCTTGGCCAGGAGCTGGGGTAGCAGAGGGATGAGGTGCTCAGTCAGCTTCACCTTGTCCTCAGCTTGAACCTTACGTTCTTTAGAGGTTAAGCCCTGGAATCAGAGTCATTTGAGATAGGAGGAAAGTGAAGAAATCCTGGGTCCACAGGGTGTGTATGTACATCCCTCATCCCAAGGATCTTCTTTTCTTTAAGAATAATTTAATTTTATTTATAACTATTATTATTTTTAATTTGACCAGAGACAGAGAGGGAAAGCAAGAAAGCAAGCCACCAGGTCTTGAACTGCCATCAGCCTTGTGGGAGTCCAACACCTTAACTGCCAATACCATTGGCTGGTGATCTTATCTGCCCAGGAAAAACAATAAAATTAAAACTCAACAGCTCCTTTCAAATTTCTTTTTTCTAGAAACAGAATTCTTTGAGGGGCATAAAGAACACACTAATTCAGGACTTGGGGATAAGAATGAAAGATTTCTGTCTGAATTTAATACTGCTAACTTACCCAACCAGTTCCTCATGCCATACCTTCCTTCCAGTGACTCGCCCCACAGGTGGATGACCCTCTGAAGCTTGCCGGACACTGGACACAAGGATTTCTATCAGTGTGCTCTCTTGCACATCACCCAGGTCTGCATTGGCAGGAAGATCAAAAACACAGAATCACAACTTAGCCACCCTCCATTTCTGGTACACCCTCCCAATGCCACCCCTGCTGCCTTTTGCAAGTCAGGAAAGAATCTCTCTCCCCTTAAAGGTCCTGTCCCCCTGCTACCACATGGCACTCACTCTGGTCCTTCTCCAGTAGCAGGCTTGTCAGACTCTCCCAGTCCTTCAGCTGAGGCCCAGCACAGTCCCACAGGCTGTCTACCAAGTAAGTAGCATGGTCATGGAGCTGTGGAAGAGAGACACAGCAAGTCACCAACATCACATTACTCTAGAGAGTATTCCTAGAGTGCCTGCCTCCATCCTTCTCTACTTGTAGGTCTTAACACACAACAGCTACACATCTCCTTCCCATTCCTCACCTCACTCTCCACAAAGAAGGACAGCAGAAGGTAGAAGAAAGTCTTTTGGGTGTGTGGATTTCGATGTCGCTCTCTCCCACCCATGGTTCTTGTCTCACACTCAGGGTAGAAAAGCCTGGTGGAACAGACACAAGGAAAGGGCACAACCAGGAGAAAATAAAAATGTGACAGTCTCCCTGGAAGGAAGAAAAGGCCCAAGAAGAGGATAAAGGAAAAAGGTCCAGAGCTAAGAAAAGTCCCAAGAAGATGTGAAGAAAGGAGACACCAAGAATGATGTTAGCAAGTATGGAAAGTCCTTAGGCAGAGCAACAGCAGATGTGGGAGAGAAAATGCCAAAGGACAGTGGTAAAGGAATGTAGGTTGGTGTTAAAGGAACACTCACTTCCAGTACAGAAATTCTCCTGCTGCAGAGGCCAAGGCTCGGTTAGAGGCATATACAACAGGGTAGATGCTCTCACAGTCTGTGTCTGTCAGCACTCCTTCCATGTTTCTGCCAAGGAAAAAGGTGAAAGAGAATGTGGATATGGATATTGTCTTCTAGCAATACCAGGCTAGACATAGAAAGGGGAAAAAGCAGGAGTATATCACTCCCAAGAATGTTTAAATGAAGCATGAAATACAGAGGGATATGGAGAGTTGGGGACCACAGGAAAATTTCCCCCTTGGGATCCTACAACTTGGGAGGGACCTCTCCCTTTCAACCTGCACGTAAGAGTCAATGATGTCGGGGCCAGCAGGTGGTGTGGTGGATAGCGGCACTGGATTCCCACATGGCCAACCCTGGTTCAAGCCCTTGCTTTCTCGCTTTCCCTTTCTCTCTCTCTCTCTCTCTGATAAAATTTAAAAAAATAATAACAACAAATGGAATTAAATAAATAAATAATTCTTGGAAAAAAAAAAGAGAGTCAATGATGTCAGGTAGAGGGATGGGACTCCGGAAAGGCCTGCCTTGATACTGGAAACATAAAAATCCGAGATGTTTGCCTCCCCACTTCCCAGGACTCACTTAAGAATAAGTGTTAGCAACCTGACAGCCTCCACTGCTACTTCATACTCTCTATCCATAACCATGGAAACCATGCGGTCCTGTAAGAAGAAAAATATCACTGGATATCTTACTGTGCCCATTCCAAAACATCATATTCTCTCAGAATTTGAAAGACTCTTAAAGAGAAAGTGTAGAGGCAGATGATGGGATAGTTAAAGCTACATCATAGCAACAGAAGTGGAAAGACATGAGGTGGAGAAATGAGAACCACAAGCAAAGGAGCACAGTCCCAGTCTTACCTTGAAGCGGCTGGTGAAGAGGTCCAGCCGTGCCGCCAGGTTTCGGTTGCTATATAACCCTTTCAGAGCCTTAAGGCACTTCAGACGAACTTCTCGGTGCTATTGAGAAGGGAAAAACAAAATAATGGAAATATGACTACTCCTCTACTCATCCTTTCGGAATCTCCACATTCCCCTCTTAGCTTACTCAGCTAGGCTTGGGTGTCTTCTGTGCTGAGGATTCCTGAGATGTTAGAGATAATAAAAAGCTTAGTTCTTACTTAATACACAAAAGGGTCACAAAAGAATTTAGGAAAAGGATCCTTTGGCTACCATACTAGAACTTGTATCACTGATTTATCAATAACTTTCTTCATTTTTCACAGGGAGTCTTTTTCTTCACAATCTCAGGGTTTGAGACATTTCAGCTCCTGAATATATCTTTCCCTCTTCTCCCTTATCCTTAGTACTCTTTAGTACTGAGGTGGTTTCAAAGCTCAGCATCTTGATGGTTTGATCACTGCTCACTAGGTGAAATACCAAAGTGGCAGAACCAGAGCTGCAGTGTTCTAAGACAGGGAAGAGGATGATTGGAAAAGGGAAAAAAGACGGACTCTCACCTTATCATGCAATGTCCAGCCGATATATTTTAAGTAGCTGTCAGTGAGGAAAGAGGTACTGTAGGTTTGCATCCAACACCCGATTTCTTCAATGCAGATACCACGGATCTCAGGAAGGACATCCCTACACACACACAGAGGAAAACTGACTCTTACCATCTTCTCAACAAACCCATTTTGCATTCTATTGATCAGTTCTCTTTCCCAGAACTTACTTTCTTGATGAAACACTATGTACCATGCCTTTTATACATATACACATACAATATACTTGAGGGTTTTCAACAAGTTCATGGAAATACATATTATGAAAAATTATGCATGGATTTCAAAATTTTTTGCCCCAAAATAAACTTGTACTTTAATTCTATTTTTCCTCAAACTTTCTGAAGTCCCCCCATACAAAAGTAAATATTTTATTTCTGTAACTAGCCCAAAAAACAGTTGAACCAGCTCTGTACGACCTTATCCTAACACATACCCCTTTTACAAACTGATTTTTTTTTCTTTTTTTTTTTTGGAGAGATTTTCACTGTAGGGCGCGTGCGCTCGCCAGACAGACAGAGAGAGACATAGAGACAGAAAGCGAGAAATCACCCCCCAGGGGGGATGGTCACGCCGCAATCCCTTCTCCTCCATTCTCCTCTCGGGATCTTGGGCACGCACGCACACGCGCCCGGCGTGAATTTTAAGCCACTGGGTCCGGGACACAAACCGCGGTCGACTACATGGGAGTCCAGCGACATAGCCATTACGCTAACTGCTGGTTCTCCAAACTGATTTTGAATGTTCATTTAATCATTGGCCAAACTGTGTGTATGTGAGTGTGTGCACATACATGTGTGTTTTAATTCCACTTCAGGGACCAGCAGATGGCATAATGGTTACGTTGCTAGACTCCAACATAGTCAGAGTCCTGGACCTGCTGGCTTAAAACTCAATGTTGGGTGCATGTGTATGAGTGCCCAAAATCCTGAAAGTAGAATGGAGAGGGAATTGCAGCATGGCCATCCACCTCCCCCAGGGGGGTGGTGATTTCTCGCTTTCTGTCTCTCTCTCTCTGTCTCTCCAGTGAACACAGGTGCCCTCTAACCAAAACCTTTCTTTAAAAAAAATCCCACTTCAAGCAAATTAATTCAGCTGAAAGGTTCTTGAAAAGTTTAAGTCAAAACTTATCTAAGAGTGGGAAACAATTACAGATAATCCTTTTAAACTTAATTCTTCCAGTTCTTTACATATAGTAGTATGAAAAATGCCTCTGTCCTTTCCTCAGTGGAACAGTAGGCTGGGCGAGGAGAAAGGTTTCCGCTGCCATTTGGTTCTCTGCTCTTGTCCTCTCAAGTTCCCATCCCCAGAAAGATGGGAGGTGATGGCAGGTCTTGGGCAAAGTTAGAGCAGCAGAATACTCAGAAATACCTTTTCCTTCGATTTTCTCTCCCAGAAGTGCTTACAAGATCCTCTATAACCTAAGCATTAATAATTTGAAACATTCATAGGGGTTTTGCTCTAGCTACATGAGTTCTGGGACTAGCCAAACAACTTAAGAGTTAAGAGGGGTCCTTATCACTTTTACAGACTCCATAACAAACGACCAGCTGCTGCAATGAGAAGAACCCATTGACTCACCTGTACCGATGTACAAAGACACCTCTGAAGAGGGCATTCATCATCCCTTCAATTTCCTCTTGATGCTCTTGGAGCTAGAGGACAGAGAACAGGTCAATCTCTCTTGTGCTCCAATAGCATAAGGCCACAAAGAGGGAAAAAAAAGCACAATTTCTGCCTACTTCCTGTTTATTACACAGTATGAACACCTGGTAATTTATATTCCATTTAAACCTAATTCTGGAAAAAGTTGTCAAGTTTCTTCATGTTTGGTAAAAATAATATCCCGGGGGAGTGGCAGCGGTGGGCAGGAAAGAACCTCGAGAGTGGTGGAGCTGGCAGGGCTGACTGGGAAGGGGTCAGAGTTGGCTAGAGGCATTTGGGTTTGTAAGGAGGGAAGAGGGTCTGAAAAAAAAAAAATCCTATTTGTGTGTGGTTAATTGGCTATTCAGAAGCCCTAGCTGGTAGTTATGTATGTTTTTTACTAACAATAATTGGGAAAAACAATTTTTAATAAATGCAGTTTGTCTGATAGAAGAAGTAAAGTGGAGGTCCAGAAGATGGCATAGTGATTAGGATGCTGGACTCCCACATGGTTGACTGTGGTTCGAGTCCTGGACCTGGTGGTTTGCTTTCTTGCCCCCGCACCCTGATCGAATTAAAAAAATAATAATTATAAACAAAATTAAATAAAATAATAATTTTTTTTTAAAAAAAAGTAGTAGTAGTAAAATGAAACTAGTGAAAAAGAGAAGAGATGAGATCACTAGATCTCAATTAGGGGCAATTCTGCCCCCCAGTAGACATTTAGGAATGTCAGAAGATATTTTTAGTTGTCACCACTGAGAGGGATGGGAGCACCAATCACTACCGGTATCTAGTACATAGAGGCCAGGGACACTGCTGAGCTTCTTACAGTGCTAGGACAGCACCCTCCCCACCCTCCTGTGTCAACAGTGCCATGGTTGAGAAACCCCGGATTAGATGAATCGATACCAAGGAAGCAGAATTATACGGAGAAAGGGAACATTCTTTGAGACAGCTGACCAGCTCTTCAGTAAGTCAATATATTGAGAAAAAATGGGGAAAAGAAGACATTCCATACAAGATTAAAAGAGACTTAAGCACATAAAACAGTGTAATGAACAGTTCTTAATTAAATCCTGGTTAGAATTCACCAGATATAAAAACCATTTTGGGGACAAATGGGGACATTTAAATAAAAATTGGAATTAGAAAATGTTAGGGAAATCATTGTGAATTTTTTGGAAGTGAAATGGTATTGGGACTATGTAGGAACTATAGTTTTTTAGAGGACATATTTAAGTCTTTTTTTTTTTTTTTTTTGAGAGGTTTTTGCTATAGAGCGTGTCCACTCACCAGAAGACAGAGAGAGACAGAGAGATGGAAAGAAAGAAGCCACGCCCCGGGAGGATGGCTACGCTGCAATCCCTTCTCCTCCATTCTCCTCTCGGGATCTTGGGCACACACGCACACGTGCCTGGCATGAGTTTAAGCCACCAAGTCCAGGACTCAAACCACAATCAACTACATGGGAGTCCAGCAACATAGACATTATGCCAACTGCTGGTCCCACCTGGAGCTTTTTACTAACTGCCAGGTCCAGGATTCAAACTATGGTCAGTCATGTGAGATCTGGATTAACTATTACACTACTGGGTCAGCCTTATGAGTACATAAGTTTGGAAATGAGAGACTGGAAAAAGTCACTGGCTATAGGAATTATGAAGACATTGGTTTGGAGAGAGTAGGTTCAAAGAAAAATGAGGATATGAGCCATGTAACAGAAAAGGAGTTAGTTGGTCAGTCTCTTTAGAGACTCTTTTAGCTATAGGGTGCATGCACTTGCTGGAGAGAGAGACACACACAGAAAGTAAGAAATCATTCCCACTGGGGGATTGCCCCTCTGCAATCCTTTTCCCCTATTCTCCTCTCAGGATTTTGGGCGTGCATGCACACATCCCTGGTGTGAATTTTAAGCCACAGGTGTAGGACTGGAATCGTGGTTGGTGGTCAGCTATTTAAAAAGTAAGGAAATACTGGGGCTAGCAGGTGGCATGGTAGTTAAGGCTCTGTTCCCACATGGCCCATGACGATTCAAGTCTTGGACCTGGAGGCTTGAAAATCACACAGGGTATTTGCACGTGTATGCCCAAAATATCAGAAAGAGAAAGGAGAAGAAGATATTATGATGCAGCCATCTCCAAGGGGGTGATTTCTCACTCCGCCCCCCTCTCATAAGTGCATGTGCTCTATGGCAAAAGCCTAAAGAAGAAAATACTACCCTACAAGGAAGGAGCGAAATAAGAGCTCACAAAATAGACTAAATGAAAGACCCAAGAGCCTATACACATTTAAATAATTTGAAATCAGGACAGAATCCATTATACAAAAGCTTTCAAAGGCACCCTGACAATGAAAACTAGCAAAACAGCATGATTAGACAGCTTCTTTCTACACTAGCAGCACAGACGCAGAATAGATGTTTTGTGCAAGAGCTAGACAAACAGGTAAGTGGTACAGTTAGACATAGTGAGCTGAGCCAATCTCATTGTAGGAAAGTCTCAGGTACTAATAAAGAGTGAGGAGGAAACATCAGTGTTAGCCTTGTGATAGACACAGCCTTGTGATAGACACAGCGGTTTGACGATGTTATCAGTGTAAAAGACTGCACTAGGGCTCTGTCCTCCAGTGCTCTTCTTTACATTTAAAAGGAAACAAAACAAATACCTGCCAAGTAGGCTATGCAATTTGCTCATTAAATTTAATCTTTACAAAAAGGTAGAATTATCTCCTCTTTGAAGACAAGGAAAGAAATGCATAGAGGCTATATGAAATAAAGAGCTAGTAACTAACTGAAACATTTTTTTGTTGTATTTTTAGAGTTTTTTTTTTTTTTTAAGAGAGATTTTTTGCTATAGGGTACATGCGTTCACCAGAGAAACAGAGAGACAGAAAGTGAGAAATCATCCCCCAGGAGGGATAGTCATGCTGCAATCAATCCCTTCTCCTCCTTCTGCTCTTGGGATTTGGGGCATGCGTGCACACACTCCCGGTGTGAGTTTTAAGTTGCTGGGTCTGGGACTCAAACTGCAGTAGACTACGTGGGAGTCTAGCGATATAACCATTATGCCATTTGCTGCTCCTTTTATTTTTTTTAAAGAATTATTTTATTTAACTATATTCATTTAATTATTTATTTACTTTAATTTGACCAGAGAGGGATAGAGTGAGAGAGAAAGCCAAAAAGCAAGCTACCAGGCCCAGGACTCGAACCACAGTGGTCATGAATGCTTTTTATTCATCTATTGAGATGGTCATGTGGTTTTTGTCCTTTTTTTTTTTTTTTTTGCTCTAGGGCACATGTGCTTGCCAGAAAGATAGAGAGAAATAGAGAGACAGAAAGAGAGAAATCACCTCCCCAGGGGAGACGGCCACACCACAGTTACTTCTCTTCCATTCTCCTCTCAGGATTTTGGGCATGTACACACATGTGCCTGGCATGAGTTTTAAGCCACCAGATCTGGGATTTGAACCACAGTCAATTACGTGAGAGTCCAGTGATGTAACCATTATGCCATCTACTGGTCCCAAAATAATTTTTAAAAGATTGCCAGAGGGCACACACAAGCAAGAGAAGGCACGTCCTAAATGAGGCACGGTCAAGTCACAATACTTTTTCCTCCCTTTCATCCTGTCAGGATTTGGGGCACGTGTGCTATGTGCCTAGCTTGTTTTTCATCCCTAGGGCCAGGATTCAAAGCATGATCAGTCATATGGAATCAAACTTCCTATGCACAGTACTTAACTGCTATACTACAGGACTGGCACATGGAATAGAATTTAAACCCAGAATGACTGGAAGGCCTATGTGTTTTCTATTCCTTAAAAACTTGGCCTCCCTTGTCATCAACTGTCCTTGAATACTCCTGTGGTGAATTGAACACTGTACATGTAACAGAAAAACTCATCGCCTTGAATGGCATCTAGGTACAACACTTAAAAACTTCTGATAATGAATACAAACAAGTGGAAGTGGAACAAAAGTGGAAATACAGAGAACTCCAAATTCATTCTAAATTAAAAGTGATTTATTGAGCCCATGTCCCAGAAACAAGATGAGCACAAAATGGCCTCTATTAAACCATCACCAGACTTCATTATTTATGACCTGAATGGTGACCTGGGGTCTAATAAGGTAAGTTTATGGAGGCAGTGGACAGAAGCTAGGAAAGGGGAAGTAAACAGGCAGGGAACACTCCTCACCTCTTTGCGTTTCTCCAATAGGCTCTCCAGTCGCTCAGGCGCTCTCTGCCCTGGCCCCTTGTTTCGTTCAGCCTCATACTGACGCTGATTGTTGTCCTTATGCAGACTCAGTTGAAGGGCAACTCTTACCAGAGAGGTCATCAATTTCATGGCTTTGAGTCATAAAGATAAGATAAGGAAATAATTATTTAAGTCAGAAGAGGAAAAGTGGGTTCAAAATAGAAGGAAAGGCTGAGTTGCGGTGGCAGAGTGGTAGCACACTCATCTGCAGTACTGGAAGTCATATGGAAGTTTATGGTTCAGTTCCTAGTCAACCGGTAAACATTGGACATATGCACTCGTGCCTTTGATTCTGGTTAGCTGGGGAGGTTATGGAAAGACTGTGGCGTTAGACTGTGTTGATGGTGCCCTCTCTCCCTCCCTTCTTTTCTCTCTCTCATAAAATAAACAAGCATTAAAAAAATAGAAGGCAAACAGAGCAGTGAAAATGAAAAGCTAGAGCAGGATCACCCTAAAATCCTAGGACTGCCTATCCTTCCCCCTCCTAACTTTGACCTTCTTTTAATGCTCATTATATTATCAGTAGTGAACTACAAAAAAAGATAGGATAGACATTGCTACTGTGAACCATTCCTTTTCTCAATTCCACTAGTGAGAAACTGGAATAAGGTATGAGATAAAAGAAGCATGGCCTTGAAGTAAAGAGCTAATATAAAGGTAGGAAAGAAGATCCAGAACTGGAGAACAGAGTTAAGTCTCACCAACTTCCAGAAGAATGCTCATAGAGTAAAAATTAGTGCTCACCAGCCAGAGTGCTAGTATGACGGAAGGCACGGACTTGGGAGTCTGAGAGGCCAGTGAGCAGAGAGATGAGGTTATCCATGGGGAAGCCATCATAGAGGAGGCTGTACTGGCACTGATAGACCAAAGTCTTCACAAACTCACAGAAGCTTCCCTGGAACTTCTTCCAGGATGGACCTGGAGCTGTCAGGGGATAGTCCCCTGAGTCCTACAGAAGAGTTTATGAAAAGAATGAGAACATTACTACCAGATCCATGAAGCCAAAGGGTCTTAGATGTCAAAACCCAGTAGTAGAGTAAAAATGTATCTCTGCTGTATCTCATTTTTAAATATTTTCCCCAACTCTAGAGGCACATTTAGATACTGTCTATGGATCCCTTTTACCCCTAAGGAACTGAATGTTTCCTTCTAAAAGCTACTCTATTTCCCAAAATCAGAAAGAGGAAACTATAGTAGATCTTTTTTTTTTTTTTTAAGAGGTTTTTGCTATAGGGTGCATGCTCTCGCCAGAAAGACAGAGACAGAAAGTGAGAAATCACCCCCCAGGGGGGGTGGCCATGCTGCAATCCCTTCTCTTCCATTCTCCTCTTGGGATCTTGGGCATGCATGCACACACGCCTGGCGTGAGTTTAAGCCACCAGGTCCGGGACTTGAACTGTGGTCGACTACATGGGAGCCCAGCGATATAGCCATTACACTAACTGCTGGTCCCAATACAGTAGGTCTCGTATTTTGGAATAAGAGGGGTAATAGGATCCTGGTCATCTTCTTCCACCTCATTAAACTGTTCTGTTAGGTGCTGGATGATCTCTGAGTTAGACATCTTCTTGAACATCTCTGGGGTCACAGTGCCTAAAGTATGGAGAAGACAAGACACTGTGATCATTTACAAGCACATCTGAAGATGAGACAGGGACTCTGAAAACGAGTGTAGGCAGGTAATCAGAAAACTTGAATCCAAGTCGTTAAGTCTGCTACCATCTGACCACTTATCTATAACTTCTCTAGATAACCCAAAGGACTCAGGCAATGGAAAACTATGGTTTTAAAACAAATCTTCCCCACCTCCCCCCCAAAAAATGGGGCCAGTAGGTGGCATATTGGTTAAGACTGGACTTGCACATGTCTGATCACAGTTCAAGTCCTGGACCTGGTGGCTTGAAAATCACACCAAGCACCATGCGTGCCCAAAATCCTAAGAGAATGAAAGAGAACTGTGATGTGGACATCACCCCTTGGGGGGTGATTTCTCACTTTCCCTCTGACTATCTCTTCCTCTCTGGCGAGTGCACATGCCCTATGACAAAAATCTTAAAACAAAACAAAACAAAACAAAACAAAAAATAACAGGGACCAACAGATGGCATAATAGTTACATCTCTGGACTCCCACGTAGTCAACTGCAGCTCAAGTCCTGGACCCAGCAGCTTAAAACTCACACTGGACACGTGTACATGAGTGCCCAAGATCCCGAGGGGAGAATGGAGGAGAAGGAATTGTGGCATGGCCAGCTCCCTGGGGGTGGGGGGTGGGGTGATTTCTCACTTTCTCTCTCTCTGAAATATCTTTAAAACAAAACAAAGAAAGCAATAAAACCTGGCCAGATGCTGGATTCTTATAATATAACCTGCCTGAGACTATATTAATAAATGAAACCATGGCATCTGAAGATCTGAAGGGGTTCCACGACTTCAGAGAAGAAACACTGGAGAAGTGACTGAGAAATAAGGAGTAATAAAATGAAAAATCATTTTATCTAGCAGGACTAAAGGGTATCTAATGGTCCATTTTCTTTTTTTTTTTAAGAGAGATTTTTGCTATAGGGTGTGTGTGCTTGCCAGAGACACAGAGAGAGGTGGAACCATTATGCCTTCTGCTGGTCCATTTTAAAATCTGTAAATATTATTATCATCACATAAGCATGATTATTTCTCCCCAAAGGGTCTTGACTCCAAACCAACATAGTTCCCTAAAGGATCGTTTCCCCTATTTACCAATGAAAAATATAGTTAAATAAATGAAACTTTTCTTAAGCTTCACCATCTTCCTTTATTTAGAGAATGTTTAATCCTACTAATCAATAAATGAAGGGTTTCATAACAGGAGCAAAAGGCGAAGAATTTCAAAGACACATGAATATTCTTACCTTTACATCCACAAGATCGAATGAAAAAGTTAATGAGCTCAAGGAATCCTGCATCTGGGTCTAGCTTGTAGCTATCCAGCCACTCATCCACCAAAGACTGAAGAAAAAAGATGAAGATGATTTCTATTTCTGGCAATATGACAGAACAGAAATCCTATATGATCTTTTCAATTGAAGCATCAACTTATTAAAATATCTCCATGCTGGGTGTGTATGCATGCATGCCCCAAATCCTGAACGGATGGAGAAATAAAAGAAGAAACTGCAGCATGACCATGCCCCACCAGTCCCTCTCTCTCTGATGAATGCATGTACCCCCTGACGACTTTAAAAAAGGAAAAAACACATATTAAAATGTCTTAAGCATCTTAGAAAAATACATTGCTTGGGCCAACTCCCTGACCTACAGGTTAAGGAAGCCAGATCCCACATAGCTGACCATATAATTAAAATCCTAGCCCAGCAGCCTTGAAAAACATGCTAAGTGTGTGTGCATGCAAGTCCTAAATCTCAACAGGATGTCAAGGAATGAAGGAGAAGGATTATGGCATGGCCAGGCTTCACTGGGGACTACTTTTTCCCTCTCTCTCTTTGCCTCTTCTGGGAAGTGCATGTGTCTTCCAGCAATTAAGAAAAAAAAAAATGCATTGCTGAACTAGAATTCCATACAGGCCAAAAATGAGGTAAAGATAGAAATCCTGGGAGATGAACAAGCTAGTGAGGATTTCCTTAAACCATGGAGACCCTGACTTTGTGTCCAAATGACTGCATGGAGTATAAAAAACAGGAGGGAAAGCCCAAGGTCTTTCCAAGAAAAGTAGTTCAAAAAAAAGACTCCTATGTAAAGCTGAGTCCTACAAAGAGTCACATCCTCATGAAAGCACAAATGAAAAATAGACCTACAGAGCAGATGGGACAACAGAAAGACTAGCTTATTGTAACCTTACTGTGAGGGCATAGGAAAAATTAAACTCTCCATTGAAATTTCATAACCACAGCCAGCCTTCAGGTCTAGATTTGTAGTTCAGATTTACCTACCTATAAAATCAGAATAATCTCAATCAGATAATTTAACTTGAAGTGATTTTGAAGTGTCCCCAGGCAATTGCCAAAAGCAAACAAGTTTGTTAAAAGCCCATCTTCAACCCAGGTCTCAAAAAATTTCAACACAGGCCAGCAGGTGGCATGGTGGTTAAAGGCGCTGGACTCCAACATGGTCAACCAGTGTTCAAGTCTCTGACCTGGCAGCTTGCTTTCTCACTTTCCCTCTCTCTTTCTCACAAACACTTTGTCCCTCTCTGGTCGAATTAAAATAATAAATAAATAAAGCTAAACAAAATAATTTTTAAAAATGTCAACACATAGAGCCCCAGGGAAACTAAGTAGCTCATAATAAAACCTGATAAAAGATATAAAAGAAACAAGCCACTAAAGGTAATTATTAAGAAAAAAAATAGAATTACATTCACAAAGACTTTAGACATTAAGGTCCACCAGAAATTATAAAATGTTTAATATGAGTAAATAAATAAAGGGTGGGGGAGACCAGCAGTTGACGTAATGGCTATGTTGCTGGACTCCCATGTAGTTGACTGTGGTTCAAGTCCTGGACCTGGATCAAAATCCTATTGGGAGTGCTGTCTGTCTCTCATTCACAGAAGAGGAAAAAAAAAAAAAAGATATGACCAGAGTTGCTGGACCCCACAGAGCCAACTGCATGGCTTAAACTCATGCTGGGCACATGTGCGTACATGCCCAAGATCCTGAGAGGAGATGGAGTAGAAGGGATTGCAGCATGGCCATCCCCCTGGGGGGGGTGATTTCTCGCTTTCTGTCTCTAAAAAAAAAACAAGACAGTGGTGAGCATTAAAATCTGTTAAGGTGACCCACATAAGAAAGTTCTGGGTTGGAAACCAGCAGTTAGCGTAATGGCTATGTAGCGACTCCCACGTAGTCGACCACGGTTCATGTCCCAAACCCGGTGGCTTAAAACTAAAGCCGGGCGCATGTGCGTGAGTGCCCAAGATCCCAAGAGGAGAATGGAGGAGAAGGGACTGCGGCGTGACCATCCCCTCTGGGGGGTGATTTCTCGCTTTCTGTCTCTATGTCTCTCTCTGTCTGTCTGGCGAGCACACGTGCCCTATGGCGAAAACCTCTCCAAAAAAAAAAAAAAAAAAAAAGTTCTGGGTTTATGTCATTAAGACCTTCATCAATATGCCAGCCACACATGTGGCTGGGGCAGGATGAACCTGGGAATGGATTGTGTCATCAAAATCCTATTGGGAGTGCTGTCTGTCTCTCATTCACAGAAGAAAAATAAATTAATTAATTAACCGATATGACCAGAGTTGCTAGATCCCACAGGGCCAACTGCATGGTTAGAATCCCAGACCTGACAACTTGAGGAACAAGCTGGGCTTGTGTCTGTAGTGCTCCTAATCCTGAATGAAAGAGAAGAGACTGAATGGCCAACCTCCCTCTTGGGGTGTGCTTTCTCACTTTCCCTCTTGCTCTTTCTGTCTCTCTCTGGTGAGCACACATGCCCTGTAGGAAATTACCTCCAACCCTCCTCCCCCTCCAAAAAAAAAGAAAAAGAAAAGAGAACCCTGAAAATAGAAGCAAAAACAATCGAATTTGGAAATGGGCCAAAAAAATTGTAGAAGTAAAAAGTATAATAAATTCGGGAACCAGCAGTTAGCGTAATGGCTATGTCGCTGTACTCCCACGTAGTCGACCGCGGTTCGCATCCTGGACCCGGTGGCTTAAAACTCACGCCGGGCGCGTGTGCGTGCGTGCCCAAGATCCTGAGAGGAGAATGGAGGAGAAGGGATTGCGGCGTGATCATCCCCCCTGGGGGGTGATTTCTCGCTTTCTGACTCTATGTCTCTGTCTGTCTGGCGAGCACATGTGCCCTATAGCAAAAAAAAACTTCTCCAAAAAAAAAAAGTATAATAAATTCAACTTAATAAACTTCAATGGTTGAGGGCCAGCAGGTGATGTGGAAGTAGCTAGATCCCACATGGCCAGCTGCAGCCCACAGAAACTAACAAGTGAAATAGTAAAAGGGATATTCAGAGACATGGCGACTAGAGAAGTTCTAATGATATCTTAGCTGAATTCTAGAAGATAAGAAAGAGGCAATATTTGAAAAGTATTTTCCATACTGTTGAAAAACACCAACTCAAAACTAGGATACTAATAGATCTTAAGCCTAATAAGAAAAGGGAAACTTATATCTATAAATATCCTGTAAAGACAAAAGCAGAAGTCTTTAAAACAGTCAAAATAGGCTAGTAGGTGGTATGAAAGTTAAGGGGCTGGATACCACATGGCTGACTGCTATCTGAGTCCGAGACCTGGTGACTTGAAAATCATGCCAGATATATGTGTGTGCATGCCAAAAATCCCAAGAGGAAAATGGAGAAGAAGAGATCCCTGGAGGTTGGCTTCTCACTCTCTCTCCCCTCCTCCCTCACTTTTTCTTTCTTTCTCTCTCCAGCAAGCACACATGCTTGATAGCAAAAATTAAAACTAAGAGAAAAAAAATCGGGGCTGGCAGGTGGTATGGTGGTTAAGGGCACTAGACTCCCACAAGGCTGACCGTGGTTCGAGTCCCAGACCTGGCGACTTGCTTTCTCACTTTCTCTCTCTCTCTCTCTCTCTCTCTCTGTCCGTCTCTGGTCAAACTAAAATAAATAAAGTTAAATAAAATAATTCTTAAAAAGGAAAAAATTCAAAGCAAGAAAAAAAATCAAAGCAAGAAGAGATCACTTACAAAGGATTTGCATTTCATATTTACAAACTAAAACATCAATAAGATTTGCAAAAAATACAGTAGCCCCTAGTCATATGTTGCTACTAAAATTAAATCAAATCAAATTTTTAAAAATTCAGTTTCTCAATCATACCAGCCATATTTCAAATGATCAACAGTCATGTGTGGCTAATATACTGTACTAGACAACAATGATCTAGAACATTTCCATCATTACAAAATGTTGTATTGGACAGTGCTATATTAGACTGAGAGCTGACTTTCAGCAACAAAAAGGGAAACTGAGGGGTTGACAGTGGCTCAGTGGTAAAACATGATCTTTGTGACGCTGATACACATAGGAGTGTTCTAGGTTTATGTCTGGAGACCTTCATGAATATACCAGGTGCACATGCACCCGCAATCCAGGGCTGGATAAAGCTAGGAATAGATTGCAACATCAAAACTGTTGGGCAAGTGCACACGCCTTCTAGCAATTAAAAAATAAACCTTATTGGGAGTGCTATCTCTGTCTTTTTATCACTTTGTCTCTAGCTCATAGAATAAGTTAACTTGAGGGAACCAGCAGTTAGCGTAATGGCTATGTCACTGGACTCCCACGTAGTCGATCGCGGTTCAAGTCCTGGACCTGGTGGCTTAAACTCACGCCAGGCACGTGTGTGTGCGTGCCCAAGATCACGAGAGAATGGAGGAGAAGGGATTGTGGCGTGGAGAGAATGGAGGAGAAGGGATTGTGGGGTGATTTCTTGCTTTCTGTCTCTCTGTCTCTGTCAAAGCCCCAAAAGCAAAAAAAAAAAAAAAAAAAAAAAAACACAAAACCTCTCAAAAAAAAAAAAAAGAATAAGTTAACTTGAAAAAAAAGGGGGTGTTGAAAGCAGTGGAATAATCTGTTTTAATGTGCAGAGAAAAAAGTCATTTTAGGGGCCAGCCAGTGGCAAGCTAGGTAACATAGGTGGATCCCTTATGGCTGACTGTGCTGTTCAAGTCCCAGACTCAGTGGTTTGAGAAATACACTGGGCACATGTGCATATGTACCTAAAACTTCTGAGAGGAATGGAAGAAAAGGGATTTCTCAACTTCCCCCTCTCTTTCGCCACTGAGTGCACACAGCCTACAGCAAATTAAAATTTTAAAAAAAAAAGTCATCTTAGAAAGCAAGCTAGCTAGTTTTCCTACTGTTCCTTTTTCCCTATAGATTTTTCATTTTTGAAAGTCTGAGCTTGTTGATAAGCCAATACCTAAATGAAAATTTAAAGGATAAACTTTAGACAGAAAGGGGACCAGCAGGTGGTGTGGTTAGGGTGCTGGATTCCCAAATGGCTGACCGCAATTCAAGTCCTGGACCCAGCGACTTAAAAATTAAACCAAGCATATGTGCTTGAGTGTCCAAAATCCCGAGAGTGGAAAAGAAGGAAATGCAGCATGGCCATCACTTCTCACTTTCCCTCTCTCTGTCTCTGGTAAGCACACATGCTTACCAGACTAGGAGATGACTTCTCACTTTCCCTCTGTATATCTCTGGTAAGCACATATGCCCTGTGGCAAAAACATGTTAAAAAAAGAAAAGAAAAAGAAAACTTTGGATAGAAATAAAACATTTTTTTTAAATAGAGATTTTTGCTATAGGGTGTGTGCACTTGCCAGAATGAGAGAGAGAGACAAAAGTGAGAAATCACCCCCCACATGGGGGATGGCCATGCTCCAATCCCTTCTCCATTCTCTTTTTGGGATCTTGGGCATGCACACTCACACACACACACAGCATGAGTTTAACCTGCTAGGTCCAGACTCCAACTGTGGTTGACTACGTGGAAGTCCAGCAATGTAACCATTATACTATCTGCTGGCCCCAAGAAAACAATTCTATATGGAAGATTTGAGATTGAAAAAGGAATGAACAAAGATAATGATAAAAATGTAGGTAAGTGGGGCCAGCAGGTGGCATGGTGGTCAAGGCACTGAACTTCCACATGGCTAACCATGGTTTGAGTCCTGGACCTGGCAGAGTGCTTTCTCTCTCTCTCTCTCTCTCTCTCTCTCTCTCTTTCTGTCTCTCTCTGGTCAAATAAAATAATAAAAATAATAAAACAATTATTTTTTAAAATAAGTATAAGCAAACATTAACTGTCTTGGGTTGTTGGAAAGGTCATGATGTATTTTTTCTATGTTTTTCTATGCAAAGGTGTGTCATGACTTTTCCAATGACCCAAGATAAACTAGTAAATTTTTATTTGATAAGGAAGGAAAATGGACAGGAACAAAACACAGTATAATAATATGTAAATAAGTAGGGAAAATAGGAGTTAAAATGTGCTCAGGTCCATGTCGAAGACAGAAATTCAAAAGAGGTTAAAGGGGAAAAAGAAACAAAAGGCAAAGTAAAGTGAAAGCACATAAAATGGCAGAAATAAATGCAAACATACCAATAGTGACAATAAATATAAATTGATTAAATTCTCTTGTTAAAGAACAGACCATCAGAATGGATTAAAAACCAAAATCTAGGGAACCAGCAGTTAGCGTAATGGCTAAGTCACTGGACTCCCACGTAGTTGACTGTGGTTTGCATCCCGGACCTGGTGGCTTAGAACTCACGCCAGGCGCGTGTGCGTGCATGCCCAAGATCCCGAGAGGAGAATGGAGGAGAAGTGATTGCGGCGTGATCATCCCCCCTGGGGGGTGATTTCTGGCTTTCTGTCTCTATGTCTCTGTCTGTCTGTCTGGCGAGTGCATGTGCCCTATAGCGAAAACCTCTCCAAAAAAATAAAATAAAATAAATAAATAAACACCAAAATCTAGATATATAGTATGTTGTATGCAGGAGACAAACCCCTAACATACACAGAAAAACCAAATATAAAAGAATAGAAAAAGATACTAGGCAAATACTAACCAAAAATAAAACTAGTGTAGATATATTAATATCAAACAAAACATTTTTTGGAGGAGTATCAGTATTTAATAATAAAAGGTTTAACTTATCAGGAAAATATTAAATTCTAAACCTGTATATAAATAGCAAAGTCTCAAAATATTTAGGGTGAACATTGGCATGTATACAAGTGGCATAATTCAAAAAAATCACTTTCATGGATTTTACATACTTCTTTAACTGCAAAACTACATAGGCCAAAAAACAAACAGTAGAAATATCAAAGTAATATCACATTTAACACTTCTGATCTCATCCAAATGAACATGCCCAACTGAAGAAACATATATCCCTTTCAAGAGCTTTGTACAACAGAGTTATGGAAACTGACTAAATACTAAATCATAAAGGTAAGTCTCCATACATTTCAAAAACAATTATTTGTGACCACAATGAAATAAAGTTATAAATCAAATAAAACTATAATCAGCAAAACTCCACATTTGTAAATTTTAAATTTTCTAGAAATCATAAAAATCTATTTCCATATTAATATGGATGAACTTCAAGTAATGTTAACTGAAAGTCATACAAGACAAAAGAATTACTTGTTTCTACACAGTTAAAGAACATATTCATTGGTGATAACTATAATAACAGACAAGCAAATGATTAATATAACATTCACTGTAGTGGTTATCTCTGGGTGGTAAGGGATTAACTCTAGGGATGGAGAGAAGATATACAAGGGTCACCTACAGCACTATTAATGTTTCATTTTTTGAGCTAGGAGTAGAAATCTAAATGACTATTTAATTTTATTTATTTATCTATTTATTTGTTGTGGTTTTCAAGATGCCAGGTCTGGGACTCAAACGATGGTTAGCCACGTGGGAATCCAACACCTTAAACACCATGCCACCTCTGGCCCCTATTTTTACTTTTTAAACTACATATAAACTCTATACTTTTAGATAATAGATTTGCAGTAAAATTATAGAAATAGAAGTACGAAGAAGGAAAAAAATAGGTATAATTATCAAGGAAGAACTAAAAAGTGACAAGGATGAGAGAGCTGTCACTCATATCCAAGCATCCTTCTTAGGTTATCCAATGCCTCTCTTGACTTTCATCAATCAATAATAATGGAATTGCTTCCGTTTCGTAGTATTTTTAGCAAAGAAGATCCTCTCACTCAACCTTTCTCTTATATCACACCAAGAATTTGTTTTATGATCTTATCTTTCTTGATGTAGGGATGTTAATTAAGTGTCTATACCAGGACCAGTCTTTGGCATGGTGGCAAAGGTGGCTAGATCTCACATGGCCAACCCCACAGTTCAAGTCCCAGACTCGGTAGCTTGAAAAATAAATCGGTATTGTGTATGTGTATGCCCAAAAATCTCAAAAGAGAAATGGAGAATGGATTACTACACGTGACCATCCCCACGGGGAGCACTTTCTCTTTCCCCCTTGTCTCTCTCCTCAGTGAGTGATGCACCCTCTAGCAATTTTTAAAAAAATAATTATTGGGAACCAGCCGTTAGTGTAATGGCTAAGTCGCTGGACTCCCATGTAGCTGACCGCAGTTTGCGTCCCGGACCCCGTGGCTTAAAACTCACGCCAGGCGCGTGTGCGTGTGTGCCCAAGATTCCGAGAGGAGAATAGAGGAGAAGGGATTGCGGTGTGACCATCCCCCCCGGGGGGTGATTTCTCGCTTTCTGTCTCTATTTCTCTCTCTGTCTGGTGGGCGCACGTGCCCTATAACAAACAATATCTCAAAAAAATTATTTATTTAACTTGATTCATTCATTTATTTTGACCACAGAGAAACGCACAAAGAGAGGAAGGGAAAGTGAGAAAGCAAGCCACCAGGTCCAGGATTCGAATCGTGGTCAGCCACGTGGGAGTGAGGGTCCAGCACCATAACCACCACACCACCTGCTGGTCCCCCCTTGCAATTTTAAGTGTCCACACAAATCAAGTTTGTAGACACTTGTCCTTATGTTTGCACCCTACAAAGGGTGAGATAGCATGAAGAAATAAGAGTGAGGGACCAGCAAGTGGCGTAGTGATTAGAGCACTGGACTCCTACATGACCGACAGCAATTCAAGTCCCAGACACAGAAGCCTGAATTTCATGCCAGACACGTGTACATACGTACCCCAAATCCCAGAAGGTGTACAAAGGAGAAGAGATTGTGGCATGCCATGCCTCCTAAGGGGTAATTTCTCACTTTCTGTCCCTCCAGCAAGCAAGCGCACATGTCCTATAGCAAAAATTTCTCTAAAAAAAAAAAAAAAAAAGTGAAATACACTGCTTTACCTGCATGTCACTTTTGGCAGCTTTCACAGCATCAAAGAGATCATTGGCCGGTGCCTCTGATTCTTTTTGGCCATGACCACGTACCATTCGAGATCCCTTCTTTGGATATTTTGCCACCTAGTCAGTACAAAATCACCAGGAATATGAATGAAAGTGTCATTTACGCTTGCTTTCAATTATTATTTCACAGGTAGGCTTAAAGTGCCAATTCCACAGCAGAGTTTGAGTTACTCAGTTCTGAAATAGCCAGTTGTTTGCATAATTGTGAACTTTACTATTACTAACATTTTCTCCTTTTAAAAAGTCCTTAAGCCCCATTCCTGTATCTCTAGATTCTAATGCCCTCTTCTCGTAGTCTCTTCAAAATTTGCCTTCTTACTCTGTCCCTTGATATTCTGAGTCTCATCCCTTCATTAACCATAGCCTCTCCTAGGTTTTCTTTTGCCACTTCCCAGACCAGGTTCAAAAGCAAAATAAAACTGACTCACTGGGGTCGTTTTAAGTGGTCGTTTTGCTGCTCTCTTCTTCACGTTGTGCCTCAGGCTGTCTTCAAAGTCACTGCCTTCATCAGCTGACAAAGAGTCACTCTCCCTATGAGGGGGTATGGGCCTCCTTAAGCAAACCACCTCACTCCTTCTATACAAAGAGTTAATTATAATTTCTTTTTAACTGTACCCTATCTCCATGAGGAAAACATCTCAGATTTTTAATAAGAGATGAACTTACCATTACTAGGAAGTACAGATAAAATTTTAAAGGAAAACTTTTAGAGAACAATGGATAAAGTGAAAACCTGAGGTAGATGAAGGACAACCCTTTTCTAATATTCCCCCTGAAAAAGAAACAAATGATATTCACTTAAGCAGGCAGAGGGACCACTGCTCTGTGTGAAGAAAATTCAGCATCCTTCAGGAAGTTATACATCACTCATGCATAAATAGGAGGTTAATAGGTACATGGGGTTATATTTCACCCCTTGAAACATAACCACGTTTCTTAATGTTTAGAGTGAAGTTTATAACACTGATACAATCTGGTCCCCAACAGTAGCACTGACAGAAACAAAAATGATTCAGAGAAAGTCAATTAAAATAACCAGGGTAAAAAGTGGATCTTGTATGAGATTAGTTTTTTTTTTCCTGATTAAAAAAAATACCATACTATTATAATCTTCACAAATAAGCTCATAAATGATAATGGTAAGGATGGTTAGACCAGTTTATAAATCCCCAAATAAAAGAACCACAGGACACCAACTAGAAAGTATATAGCTTGTTAGGCAACAAATAGAGCTCTTTACTTCCCCATCTCCCACCTTCCAGTCCCCACCAGAATTTGTACATGCTTAACATACAAATGTGTTCAAATAAGGCTTAGACAAATTGGATGATGAATTAAAAACAGGATGTATTATTATAGATCTCTACAACATACAGGGCTACCAAAAGCAGCCAGCAGAGCTGAAAGGAGTTGGTGTTATAAAATGGAGCCAGTATAGTGTTCTGATGTTTTCCTGTATTTCTACACATATCACTGCCAATGCAGGAAATGATAAAGGGGAAAGCTGCTGAGGACACAAGAGGAGTCCACATTATGCAAGAATCTGTCAACCACTCACCCCTCTGAAGTATGGTCTGAGTCTCCATCAACACAGGGCAGATTGACTGAGGAACTAGAAGCAGAAGACAAGGCCCTCTGTGCACTGCCCATAGCTCTTTGCAGCGGTGAGGACACATTGCTTGGTGAGGAGGAACTATGGAGATGGGAGGAGGAGGAAGATCGCAGGATAGGCATAGTGATCCAGCTGAGAAAAGAAAAAGAGGGAAAGGTTCTTATCTCACTACTTTCTAGTCCCCCCCTCCCCCGCAGCCAACTAGTCCCTTTCTTCCCAAGACAACTGCTCTGGAACTGGGGAGGGGAGTTTGGGGTGGAATAAACATCACCAAAAATAAAACCTAAGGCCTCAAGGGATTGTAGACACCACCCCCCGAAATAGCCAACCGGTTTGCAGCTGCTCTCCCAAGAACCCAGCAAGGCACACACCAGCGCAGCTTCAGGAACACCCATTGCTAAGTTTTGAAAGCGCAACCCACTTGGAGCAAGGAAATTTAGTTGGTACATTAAAAAATAAAGAGGAAAAAGGAAAGGAAAAGAGGGAGAGAGGAAGGAACGTCCAGAGGAAGGGGAAAAGCTCAACAGAGGTCTATTTCTAGGAAACTAGTATCTGATTCTACAAGGAATGAAAGGAAAAGCTGTTAACAATTTAAGGGTGGGAGCACTGTTCGAACACGTCAGGAAAGACTGAAGTGAAACAAGGCACACGTTCTCTCTTTTTTAGAGTATGATTATCTATAATTGACCCTGTAGTAACCCTCTTTCGGCTCAGGAACATTCCAACTGCTCTGGAGAGCAGATTATCATTCCCTCAGGAACTGGGGATGGGATTCTCAGCCTCTGTGGTGAGGGAGGGCCCCCTGAGTGCGAACCCGGGCGTCCGCTTTTCAGGGCTGGGAGTGTGGTGAGGATATATTCTTGGGTCAAAGAGAGCCTCACTGAGCCTGCAAGAGCGACTCCTGGCTGAGAGGCGTTGAGGAAATGGTCGCCCGCTTAGGTCCCTCAGGTTTCTGTGGTAACCCCCACCTCTGACACAGGCGCCTGCTGCTTCCTTTCCGGTGATGGAAGAGTCTAGAAAAACGCGGGAAGGCACGAGGTAATCTGTGCGCAAGCGCGAGCTCAACGGCTAGTCCCAGGGCTAGTAACTGTCGCGAGGCTTGGAATGTGCGAGCTCGTGCTCGCCACGCTACAGTCAAGCAGCTCCGACAGCCTCGTGCAGCTGCAAGCTCTCAGGCGTGCCGCCAGGTCACGTGGGCTCCAGCACGCCGGCCGCCAGTTTTAACCCAGCTCTGCCCCGGCTCCGCCCTCTGCCGCCAATCTCCCCCTCCATTGGCCGGGCTTCGGGCTGCACTAGTAGTAGCCCATTCGATCGGGCTTCTCAACTGCCATAGGCTGGGTTCTACCCAGGACCCGCCTTTCCAGCTAGATCGCCACGCCCCCCGATAAAGGCCACGCCCCTATTCACCCATCTCTGTAGTGAGGAGGTGTCCCGCCCCGGCTACGGAGCTTACCCACTACATTGGCTTCATTTCTTCTTTTACTCCGCCCCCGAGGCCGGCTTGTAACCAACATTGGCAGGGCCCCGCCTCGGGCCACGCCCCCGTCCGGCTCCCTGCTCCCATTGTTTCGGCAGATGCTGCCTGGTCCAGCAATCGTGCTTGGTGTTCAGTTTTCTGGGGTCGCGCTCTTTCTCTGGTCTGTGGAGCGGCCCCGCAGCCGAGAACAAGAATCCTGAGTTCGGGCGACTCTTCTTTCCTTTTTAGGACCCACTTTGCATTCCCAGGACGGCTACAACTATGTCTACACTGCGATCTCTCCTCCTGCTGCTGCTGCTGCCTCTGTGTCCCGGTCCTGGTCCCGGAGCCGGGAGCGAGGCAAAGGTCACCCGGAGTTGTTGTGCAGAGACTCGGCAGGTGTGAGGGGCCCGGGGATATAGCTTAAACCTAATCCCTCCAGCCCTGATCTCAGGTGAGGAGAAAGAGGAAGACTAGAGAATTGGGAGGTGAGAGTGGGGGACGGGCATTTCCTTCCCCTCCTCTCCCCATCTGGCAATAACTCTCTTCTCTTCCAGAGTGACCGTTATAGTAATCTTTTCATCCCATAATAATGTCTCTCCTCTTGTAACTTCCTTGCCAGGATCACAATAACCCTCCTGCTCACATAATAGCTCTCTTACTCCACCCCCACCCCAGGAATCCTTTTCTTGTAATTAGCACCCCTTGTGTGTTTCTTTCTTCACAGCCATGTTGCCCTCCTATTTCTGTGAGCACCTTCTATGATGGTACTTTCTTACTCACCTAAAACCCCACCCTTCCAAACCCCATTCTTCATCCCATTGAAGCTGTCCTGCCAGTCTCTTGTGGCTTGGGGTTTGTGATATTGGGGAGGGTCACCTGAGGACACTCTAATCACTAATTTGGACCTCAAAGCTGTTGACAAATAGATGATTCCATGGCTAATGAGAGTGGACCTGGGATGGGTGAGAGGACAATAAGGAGGGAATAGTGTCAGGTGGAGAGGAGGGGCCAGACAATAGAAAAGAGACCAGACAGGTGAAAGAGAATGGATAGCCCCCAGGAGTAGACAGGAAATGGAAGGAATTTCTGGATACCTCCCATCATTCCTCCCTGTCTTCTCTATCCAGGTGAGCACCTCCGGGTCTGCCCCCAGGAGTACACCTGCTGTTCCAGTGAGACAGAGCAAAGGCTGACCAGGGAGACGGAAGTTACCTTCCGAGGCCTGGTGGAGGACAGTGGCTCCTTCCTGGTTCACACACTGGCTGCCCGGCAGAAAAAATTTGATGGTGAGGACCAGAGGTCTCCAAATCTGGCATCGCACCTCCTCTCTGTGCTTATGACCTCAACAAGCTCTGTGTCCCCCACCCCCTGCTCCATCCCTGCAGCCCTGGCTTAGCCCCCCAACCCCAGGCTCTCTCCAGGGTCCTGCCCTCCTCCATTCCCAATCCACCCCGTCTCTGAGACTTGCTCAGTTTCTAATTCACTTGTCTTTTCTCTCCTCTCCCATTCCCATCCCCTCCTGCTTCTGCCCTTTCACCTTCTATCCTCCTTTGACTTCACCCCACCTTAACCTGGGTCCCTGCCTCACTGTGCCTTTGCCACAGAGTTTTTCCAGGAGATGCTCTCAGTATCCCAGCACTCCCTGACTCAGCTCTTCTCCCACTCCTACGGCCGCCTGTATGCCCAGCACGCCCTCATATTCAATAGCCTGTTCTCTCGGCTGAGGGCCTACTATGGGGAGTCTGGTGAGGGGTTAGATGACACCTTGGCAGATTTCTGGGCACAGCTCCTGGAGAGAGTGTTCCCCCTGCTGCACCCACAGTACAGCTTTCCCCCTGACTACCTGCTGTGCCTCACGCGCCTCGCCTCTGCTACTGATGGCTCTCTGCAGCCCTTCGGGGACTCACCCCGCCGCCTCCGCCTGCAGGTGAGGGATCCTGAAGTATGAGCTTCAGCCACCTCTGAACTGTGCACCACTCACCTCCAGACCAGTGACCCCCTCCCTTTTGTGCCCCACTCACCTCTGACCTGGTGATTCCTCCCATCCTGCACCGCAGCCATCTCTAACCTAGTGAGTCCTCAAGCCTCAGTTATTTCTGCTTAATTCAGTGCTCCTTGGCCTCTTTTAAGTGGACACTTCCTGACTCCATTCTATGCTCTAGTTTCACATACATTTTCACCTGCTCTTGGCCCGAGTAACTTTTATGCCAGCTCCTCCTTAATCCTAACACCTGGTCTTCCTCAGGTCCAGCTAAACATGAATTAGACATCAATATTTAAGAGGCATTTTCATTTATACTATCTCATTTAATTGCCATTATAATTCTGTTAGATAGTAATATCCGTATTTTAGAGATGAAAAAAATGAGGTCCCCAGAGGTTAAGGTCTCACAGCCAGTAAGTGGTCGAGCTGAACCTCACACTCAGGTCTTCTGGCTTCAAGTCCAGTGTTTATTCTGATACATGATCTCTCTCGCAAAGGCCTGTACAACACATTCCTTTCATCTCTTCCCAAGCCCAGTCCCATTGATCCTTCTAGACCATAATTCCTCTGGGGCTTTTGAACCTGCCTCTCTGTCCCACTCGACGTGCTACTCAGACCAAGAATACCCCACAAGCATAGTCCCCACTGCTCAGCTCCTTAGTGCAGTCTCTTGAACCCAGTCTTGGCAGACCCATGACAACCTGTGGTTTTTCTCACCTTTTTTTTTTTCCCCTTCCTCCAGATAACCCGGGCCCTGGTGGCTGCTCGGGCTTTTGTCCAGAGCCTGGAGGCTGGAAGAAATGTGGTCAGTGAAGCACTGAAGGTTAGAGGAAGCCTGAGTATGGGCAGGGCCCGGGGAGGGGGAGGCAGAAGCGGGAGAGTCCCTATGAGGAAAGGTCAAGCACCAGCTGGCAAGAGAAATCTGGGATCTTCCCTTGTCAGCCTCCAGGCTCTGGTGTCCCAGGACAAGTCAAAAAGGGACGGTCCAGAGTGAAGTCTCCATAGGATCATGATCCATGATAACCTACCACCTCTGACCCTCCTGCGCCCTCTGACTCATACCCTTCTGCCAGCCTCCAGGGACCTGCTTATCACCATAGCAATTTGAGATTGGAGTATTGCCTCACCCCCACCCCCCCAATGTCCTAGGACTCCCTGTTCCCTGCTGCCGAAGGCCAGATTACTGGCTCTGCCTCTTTGCAGCTTCTCCCTGTCCTCTCAGCCTTACATTCTGCCTCCTCACTGTCTCCTTCCTCCCCAACTGTTATGGCTCACTCGTGTCCCTGAATCGTTTCTCAAACCCCCCACTGCCTCTCCAGTTCCACCCCTCTTATGGAGCAGTATCTGCCACCTGGCCATAGGAACATCTCTCAGATCTGTGGTGGTGCTGTGGTCCATCACATGGGGTCACCAACCCTACAGGCTCACACAGAGCCCAGGGTAGGTGGGGCGGAGTATTTGACTTCTCTCTATGCCCAGCCCCAGGCCTGGCTGAGAGCAGCCACGGTGTCTGTGGATGACACAGCTCCACTCTCTACCCCCCAGGTGCCAGTGTCTGAAGGCTGCAGCCGGGCTCTGATGCGGTTGATTGGCTGTCCCCTTTGTCGGGGGGTTCCCTCACTTCTACCTTGCCGGGGCTTCTGCCTCAACGTGGCCCGTGGCTGTCTCATCAACAGGGGACTAGATCCTGACTGGGGCAGCTATCTGGGTGAGGGGACTTAAGACAACTGGGGTGGAGGGTAGTGTATTGCAGTCAGACATGGGTGAGGTGAACTGGGGAGGGACTCTAAAGTCATACTGAGGAAGGAACTGGACGGGGAGCCTCTTCTCATGCGAGTCTTCTAAGGCCTGACTGAGGGTTTGTGGGAACATCCTAGTTCAGCGACTGCACCCCTCACCCCCTCCTTTGTCTTTCTTCTCCCACTTCAAGATGCTCTCCTGCTCCTTGCTGAGAAGCTTGAGGGCCCCTTTTCCTTTGAGCTGGCAGCCGAGTCCATCGGGGTGAAGATCTCAGAGGGTTTGATGTACCTGCAGGAAAACAGCGTGAAGGTGTCAGCCCAGGTACAGGGAGAGGAGGGTGGAGGCCAGGCCTGGGGTGTGGGTACAGGGAGGGGTGTCAGGCAGAGAATATAGAGGATCTGGGAGACTGGAGTGTTAGGCGAGACCATGGGGTCAGAGTGGGGACACAGTGTGAAGTCTCTTTCTTGTGTCGCAGGTGTTTCAGGAGTGCGGTCCCCCCGACCCAGTGCCTGCACGAAACCGTCGAGCCCCTGCACCCCGAGAAGAGATGGGCCGGTTGTGGACGTCGGTGGCAGTGGCAGATGAGGAACGGCCCACAACGGCAGCTGGCACAAACCTGCACAGGCTGGTGAGTGGCGGACCAGAAGGGCGGTTGCCAGTGGGGGGGCGCACCCCAGTGCTCCACCTCCACTCTGCCCTCGCCCTCTCTCGCTTTCCCAGGTGTGGGAGCTTCGCGAGCGTCTGGGCCGGATGCGTGGCTTCTGGGCTGGGCTGCCCCTGGCAGTGTGCGGGGACTCCCGCATGGCAGCGGACATCTCTCTGGAGTCTGCGCCCTGCTGGACCGGTGCTGGGCGGGGCCGGTGAGACCCGGGCGGGCGGGCGGCAGGCACGCGGGCTGCCAGGGTTGGAGGTTCGCACGGACAGGGCGGGAGCCTGGGGGCTGCTCTGTTTGCAGGTACCTGCCGCCGGTGATCGGAGGCTCCCTGACAGAGCAACTCAACAACCCTGAGCTGGAGGTGGATGCCTCGGGCCCCGACGTTCCCACACGGCGGCGACGGCTTCAGCTTCGGGCGGCCACCGCCAGGATGAGGGCGGCAGCGCTCGGACACGATTTGGACAGGCCGGACGCGGGTAAGACCGGGCGCCCACGGGCCCGCCCACTGCCCACTGAGCCCTTCCCCTGCCCTCCCCACTTGGTTCCCGCCCGTGCCTCTCTTCTTTGTGCCCATTCGTTCACTCATTCATTTAGCAAGCAGTTTTTGAACGCCTTCAAAGGTAGGAGGTGAAAGGCCAACGTGTGGGTCTCTGTTCTTGGGTTCACGGTCCAGTTGGGGAGGCATAAAAAACATTCTTAACCAACAGTGGGAAGCTTCTTATAATGGGCGAAGCGATGTGGGAGAATGGAGGAGGGGTGGCAGCCAGGGGGAGGTGGGAAAGCCAGAGTGGGGGTGACATTAGGCTTGCTCCCCAAGGAGGATTTTGCCCCACAGGCAAGGCACATTTCTTTTTCTCTCTCCCATGCCTTTCTCTCTTTCCTTGCCGCCCCTCCCCCACCCTCTGCCGTCTGCTCTCTGCCTCTGCTTTCTGTCTTTTCCTGTTTATCCTCTCTTCCCATCTGTCTCTCTTCTGTCTCTGCCTCATTGTCTCTTCTTCTGTCTCTCATCTCCATGTTTGCTGTGTGATCTCTTTCTCCCTGCTTCTTGTCACTCATTGTCTCACCCTCTTCCCAACTGCTTGACCTACCTGTGTGTCTCTCTCCCTCGCCTCTTTTTCTCTGATTTAATCTTTTTTCTTCCTCTGTAGTTATGTCTGTCTCCCCTGTCTGTCCCCTCTTGCCTCTTGCCCACCACTATTTGTCTTGGTCTCTCTCGTTTCTTGCAGATGAGGATGCCAGTGGCTCTGGAGGAGGACAGCACTATGCAGATGACTGGATGGCTGGGCCAGCAGCTGTGGCCCCCCCAGTCCGGCCTCCTCGACCTCCTCGCCCTCCTCGGCGGGAGGGTCCTGGAGGCAGAGGAGGAGGTGGCAGTGCCCGTTACAACCAGGGCAGAAGCAGGAGTGGGGGCACATCTGTTGTTTTTCACACCCCACCTGTCTTCATTCCCTTCCTGGTTGCCCTGGCTCTGCTTGGGCCTCGGTAACAGGGGAGGGGTGCCCTAGCATCAGAAGGGTTCGTGGCTCTTTCCCCTCCTCCCTCTTCAGCTGGGCCTGAGGAGTTGAAAAGGGCTACAGAAAGAGTAGAGAAGGAACTTTGCAGATGAACGAATGGCTGGGGCCCCAAATTTAGATTCCCATTGGTGGGCTGGGAGTGGGCATGTGTTCACAATATTTATTTTTTCATTTGGTAATGGAGGGGCTGGGAGTATTTATTTAGGAAGGAGGTGTGGACCTCAGCCCTGTAAGGCTGAGACTGGTCATCAGCCCCAACAAGGAGGAAGGGGAGAAGTTTTAGAATTGCAGTTTGGGAAGGAAGTTCAAAGTGGGGAGGGGTGCAACACTGCTGGGGTGGGGGCATGTAGTCTCAGAAGTGGACACAACTGAATGCTAATGGGTGCACTGCAGGGGACTGGGGATGTGTGAGTAGGACAGGAGGCTCTATGGGCCTAGGTTCTGTTGAGGGTTTTTTTTTATTTATTAATTTCTTAAACTAAAATGTTTTTTAAAAAAGGACTCATGACCTTTGCTGTCCACATCATCCTTCACAAGCTCTAAATGTCATGTTTTAGTGTTTGAGTCAGTGTTTATTCTGCAAATAAATTGTAATTTATTGGACCCACTGTGTGATTTTCTGTGCCTTCAGCATCTGTCCCTGTGTGAGCCTTGGCTCCTAGCAGAGGCCCCAGAAACTTGTGACTAGCTCGGTTTTTGTCTGCTTCTGTCCTCTCTTTGAACTTGTCTGTCCCCTGGGAGCAGGCCTGGAATGACACGCCAGTCTCCAAATTGCCCATCCTCTCAGCCTGAGTTTTTTTTGTTTTTTTGTTTTTTGTTTTTTGTTTTTTTTTGAGAGGTTTTCGCTATAGGGAGCATGCGCTCGCCAGCCAGACAGAGAGAGACATAGAGACAGAAAGCGAGAAATCACCCCCCGGGGGGGATGGTCAGGCTACAATCCCTTCTCCTCCATTCTCCTCTCGGGATCTTGGGCACGCACGCACACGCGCCCAGTGTGTTTTAAGCCATCGGGTCTGGGATGCAAACCGCGGTCGACTACGTGGGAGTCCAGCAACATAGCCATTACGCTAACTGCTGGTTCCCTCAGCCTGAGCATCTTCATCGAAAAATGGAAAGGCTTAGAAGGACCAAATAGAACTGTGAGAAAGAACCACCTTGCCGCCTGTAAAATTCTCTTTAAACCCCAAGCATTTTATATATCATCACACCACTGTCTCCTGCCTTCAGAGTGGGGTCCCTGGCTCTGAGTGTCAGCCTCTGGCTACCTGTCAAGTCCCTGAAAATGTCTGTTTTCAATTCTAATCTGTCACTTTCTCTTTCTGTCACTTGAATGAATCTTTTGTTCTGTAGAAAGTTGAAAGAAAAAGGTACAATAGGTGTCTTAGTGTGAAAGAAGAGTAAAGGCTGGGTGCCATGACAGAGGGGAAGATGCAGGGAGGGAGAGACCCAGAGACGCTCTTGCTCGATCAAAGCTGAAGCAGCAGCTTGGACTGGCGGCGGGACAAAGGAAGTGGGGGAGGAGCCTGGGTGCAGAGAAAGTGTGTGGGGAAAGTTGAGCTGAGCGAGGAGAGGAGCCGGGCGGTGGCTGGGGCAGGCGGGCGGGCTGGAGGGCCCCACCGATATCCCTGCAGCTCCCCTTGTGGCCTGGTGAGTGGGCAAGTGAAGCCGAGGCTGGGGCCTGTGAGGGACCCTGGAATTTATGGGAGACTTAGGTTTACAGATTCTCAGAGGGGGCCAACAAAGGGCTGGAGGAGGCAGAGGGATGGAATCCGGGGTAATGGGAAGACATAGGTGCAAGGAATTGACAACTCCGGAGAGAGGAGTGGGGGCTGGACCCTGGGGGAGCAATGTGATGGAAGGAATTGGGGATCAATGTCAGAGGGGCGGGTCTCTGGGTAGCAACTGTGGGTTCTCTCAGCCTGTAGTCACCCCTTCTTCTGAAAAGGGGGCTGCCTGGGCTTGTTGAAAGGGCCGTGGTTCATCTGTGATTGTGGGTTGCAACCCGAAGGGGTGGGCCAGACTCCCAGTTGGTTAGGAAGCTCTGACTGGCCTGGAAAAGAACTCTCAAGTTCAAGGTTTGTGTCTTTCTTGCATCTTTGTGCCGCAGTTTCTCTCCTCTCCTCTTGTCCCTCCCATCCCCACCCCCTGCACCACACTCTCCATCTCTGGGTATGCTGATGGGGTTGAAACTGTCCAGGGATCTGAGCTTCCTAAGTGACCCTCCATCTCCCTCAGCCCCTCTGCACACCAGGGTCTGCTCTGTGCTGAGAGGGAAGAGATGCTCACGTTTATGACATAACGGCTCTCACTCGTGACAAAGTCACTTCTATAAATCCAATGTCCCTCCTCCTGCCTGGGTTCATCAACCTATGTCCTGTCTGACCCTCATTCCCACTTTGGGGCTACCCCTCCTAGCCTTAAAAAGGGGCTCTTCATTCCTATTTGTCACAGACAGAGGAGCTCAGGAGCAAGCCAAGGCCCTGGAGATGCCCTGACCTGACTCTCATGATGAGCCAACTGGTCTGACCTCGTTCACCTGCTGTTTCACTTACGATGAAGTCTCTGTCTTTCTCTCCTTCCCCTCTACATTCCTGAGGCTCAGAAAGAGCTGCAAGTGGGGGTTGCAGAAACTGGAGAAAAGGATGGCAGCAGAGGCAGTAGTTACGGGGCCACCTAGAAGAGTTGGGTGTACAGAGAACCCTTGGGCCCACTCCCCCTCCCTGAATTAGGTCTGAGCTGCATCAGGAAAGAAGGCTCTACCCTCTCCTTAGGCTCCTCCTCCCCCCCATTCCTCTTCCAGACGCTGACAGAGGCAAAAATCTGCTAACTAAGGGGGCAGACTCAGCCAGGGCTGTGAGCAGACCTGGGGAATGACCCCCGATCTCCAAGTGGTGCCTTCCACGGCTGCACGGCTATCTCAAGCTGCCTCTGCCTCGGTTCCTGGCCCTGGCTCTGTCCCTAATCTGGGATCACCATTACCTGTGCCACATGAGCCCTCTGTCTCCTACCAGGACAATGAGGCTCTGGGGGCCTCGGAGCCTGGGGTTGGCTTTGGGTGTCTTCATGACCATCGGATTTGCCCTCCAGTTCTTGGGGGGATCCTTCCGGAAGAGGTGAGTTACCCTCTGGTCTTGTGATCAATGCCCTCAACTTGCTCCTCACCATCCCACTTGGGGCTGTGACTCTCAGGGAAAGCTCTGTATAGCAACCTTTCTCTATAAAAAGCCTGTCTACTTGCTGCTGAGGGACAGGACACTGTATCTCCTGTCTCTTCCCAGGCTACCCAGGCTGCAGCCCCAGGTCCCATCCCGGAGACCAGCTGTTCCATCCTGCCCACCCCAGCAGCGACTTGTGTTCCTGAAGACGCATAAATCTGGGAGCAGCTCTGTGCTGAGCCTGCTTCATCGCTACGGGGATCTGCATGGGTTGCGCTTTGCCCTCCCTGCCCGCTACCAGTTTGGATACCCAAGACTTTTCCAGGCATCTCGGGTCAAAGGCTATCACCCCCAGGGTGGAGGCACCCAGCCCCCCTTCCACATCCTCTGTCACCACATGAGGTTCCATCTGAAAGAGGTGAGGGGAGGGATGTGGGACCAGCTCAAGCCAGACCATGTGGCTAAGACCATGAGGGAAGGGGGCCAGGCCTGGGGGCTTTCCAGGCATCACCTCACCCAAAAGCTGGACATGGAGGGGCCACAAAGGTGGGATTTCCTATTACCCACTCCTTAGGTGTCTCTTCCCAAGGAGTTTCTGGGAGCCAGAGTCCTCCTCTATGCCATCTGGTGTTTATTCCAATGTTTTTCCCCTTGTATCAATGCCCTGCCAACTCAGACTTCACCCCAAACTCTCCTTCCAAGGGTTTCTTGCACTCCCTTGCATTGTCACTACCAGGGCCCCTGATCTGCCCCTGCCTCCTCTCCCTCTCTCTTGCATTACCATGTTTGCCACATTTTGAGGATCAGTCTATGCCAAGCCCCAACAAGCACAGCAGGATGGTTGAGTGGAGGCACTGCTCTGACCCCCCAGGAGCCTCAGTTCTATCGGGGAGATGAGTACATGCCCTCACATGCTCAGACGGACACACACAGGAAGCCAAGAGCTCTAGTATGAAGAGCCTTGATGTGCAAATGAAAACACACAGGGAAGGAAGTAACCTTATTGAATACTTACTGAGTGCCAGGTAGGTAGTTGATCGTCTTACCAGCACCTTGCTAGGAAAGCATCACAAGCCATTATACAGATGAAGACCTCAATCTCAGTTGCAGAGCTAGGATCTGAACCCAGGCCCACTTACTCTTTAAAGTCAAGGCCCCTTCTATGGCATGTGTATGTGCTTTTTGTTGTTGTTGTTGTTCTTTGGTTAAGGCAACTGGCTCCCATATAGCTGATCTCACGGTTTAAGTCATAGACCTGGTGACTTTGAAAACATACCAGGAATATGTTCATGTGTGTCCCAAACCCTGAAAGGAGAAACAGGAGAAGGGACTGCAGTGTTTTTGCTATAGGGCACATGCACGCTCCAGAAAGACAGAGACAGAGAGACAGAAAGCGAGAAATCAACCCCCCGGCATGATGGCCATGCCACAATCCCTTCTCCTCCAATCTCCTCTCGGGATCTTGGGCACGCACGCACACACACCCGGCATGAGTTTAAGCCACTGATTCTAAGACTCGAACCATGGTCGACTACATGAAGTCCAGCGACATAGCCACACGCCAACTGCTGGTCCTGGCATATGTATGTGTGTGGTTTTTTAAATTTTATTTATTTATTTTTTTAGAGAGGTTTTTGTTATAGGGCGCATGCACTTGCCAGAAAGACAGAGAGAGACAGAGAGACAGAAAGAGAGAAATCACCCCCCAGGGGGGATGGCCACGCCACAATCCCTTCTCCTCCAATCTCCTCTCGGGATCTTGGGCACGCACGCACACACACCCGGCATGAGTTTAAGCCACCAGGTCCAGGACTTGAACCGTGGTCGACTACATGGGAGTCCAGCGACATGGCCATTATGCTAAATGCTGGTCCTATGTATGTGTTTTTGTATGAGGGTACTTCCAAAAGTTCAAGGGAAAATAGAATTAAAGTATGGATTTATTTTGGTGCAGAAAAGTTTCCAAACCTATAGTTTTTCATAATACACATCTCCTATAAACTTTTTGGGGACTCCTCATATTTAGAATTGTGGAAAGAGTATTTATCAAGAGGTAGTGTATGTCAGCCTGTGGTGTGGTGGTTAAAGCAACTGGCTCCCATATAGCTGATCTCACGGTTTAAGTCGTAGACCTGGTGGTTTTGAAAACATACCAGGAATATGCTCATGTGTGTCCCAAACCCTGAATGGAGAAACAGGAGAAGGGACTGCAGTGTGACTATGCCCTGTGAGGGGGTGCTTTCTCACTTCTCCCTATCTCTCTGAGGAATACATACACCCTCTGGCAAAAAAAAAAAAAAAAAGGCAGAGTATTCTAGAGAGATGCACTTTCAACTAAAGGGTGGACCTTTCTTGGTAGTAAGGAGCACATCAAGCATTCTTAGGAGCAAAGCATCAGCAAAGACAGTGGTGCGTGTAAGGGGGAGTGTGTATGCCAATCATAGAACTTCAGCATGAGATGCAAAGACACCCTCATGGGAGCTGGATCTGGACACAGCAGCTGAGGAGTGTGATCAATGGTCAATGAGAGACCACTGTGGGAGTGAGGCCAAGACAGTGATCTTTGAGGTAGGTTTCTCCGGAGGTTAGGCTGATGACCTTTGCTGTCACCACCATTCACTGAATACCTGCCTTGTTCCAGATTCTCCCACATCCTTCCAGGTAAGTGTTAACCCAGATTTATGGATGAAGCAATGAAGGCTCTGAGAAGTTCATTAACCTGCCCAAAATCACTTAATTAGTAAGCGGCAGAATTGGGACAGTCCAGGTCCAGCTGATGCCTAAGACTGTTCTCTTCACTGATTCCCTCTGAAGTCAGAGAGACAGACAAGGTCAGCTGGTGGCATGGTAGTTAAGGCCGTTAGATCCCACACGGCCAACTAACTGCACAGTTCGAGTCCTGGACCTAGTGATTTAAACCATATCACGGGCACATATGTGTGTGTGCCCCAAATCCTGAGAGAATGCAGAAGGGATTGTGGTGTGGTCTACCCCCTGGGGAGTGAGTTCTCATATTCTCTCTCTCTCACTAGTGAGCCTATGCACCCTACAGAATAAAAAAAGAGGCAGTTCACAGGTTCTGCCCTTCAGGGATGCCATATCTGTGGAGCAAATTGGAGATTGTCATGACAAGAGGGGGTCAGATGCGATGATGAGAAGTCATTTTCAGAGGCAGAAACCCTTCCGGGAGGGCAGAAGCTAGGTTTTGAAGTGGATCTGCCTGCAGGGCTATGTTAGGGTATAGCTAAGCTTGATTCCTACCTTCCTTGTTGCTGAGAAGTAGATTCGTGTCCCAGCTCTTGTTACAGCACCCTATGGCCTCCTAGAGCTCCCTCCACCCCCTTCTAGGGATGTCTTTTGCTTTCCAAGATGCCTAGGAGCCCTAGAGGTGCTTGCCCTTCAGCTGTCCTGAGTCTGGCTTGCCCTTCTGACTCCTGTACCTGGGACAGCACCATGGTTGCCCCTTTTCACTCTTTGCTGCCAGTTACAGTTCTTCTACCCCTCAGGAGGCCTAAGGCCAGTTCCGTTCTTGGAGCTGTGACCAAGAGTCTCAAAGTAGACATTTGATAGGTTGGAGAAGAAGGTACAAAGCTTGGCTCACAGAAATTTTACTGACCAAGGCAGCCAGAAAGGCACAAGGAAGTTAACGTTCCCCAGGAGCTTCCCATATCCTGTATGTCCTGTATCCTCCATAATTACCTGGGAAGATGTGATTATCCTCATTTTTCAGGTGTGCATGTTGAGTCTCGGAGATGTTAAGTAACTTGCCACATAGCTAGTAAGGGGAGCTGGGGTACCCAACAGAACTATGAGGAAGAGGTCTGGGAGGCTGAAGGATCAGCAGACCCTTGGCTTGTGCTCACTTACCCTGGCCTAGTACCTTCTCTCCATGTCTGTCTTCTCTCCTTTGCAGGTCCTTCAGGTCATGCCTTCTGACAGCTTCTTCTTTTCCATTGTCCGAGACCCAGCAGCTCTGGCCCGCTCTGCCTTCTCCTACTATAAGTCCACCTCATCGGCCTTCCGCAAGGCACCATCCTTGGCTGCCTTCCTAGCCAATCCTCGCGCCTTCTACCGGCCTGGGGCCCGGGGAGACCATTATGCACGTAACTTATTATGGTTTGACTTTGGCCTCCCTTTTCCCCCAGAGGTGAGGACCAAGAGAGGGACCCTTCATCCCCCTAGAGACCCCAACTCCCCACAGCTGCATGTTTTGCCTCCCGGTGCTGGCCCTCGGGCCCAAACCTTAGACCCCAGTGCACTCTTCCACCCTCTTTCCACTGCTACTCATGGTCACAGCCAGATAGCCAGCCCTGTTTCTTTAGATTTGGGGTCTTCATCCTTCATCCAGTGGGGCCTGGCCTGGTTGGACTCCATCTTTGACCTGGTCTTGGTGGCTGAATACTTTGATGAGTCATTGGTTCTGCTGGCAGATGCCCTGTGCTGGGGTCTGGATGACGTGGTGGGCTTCGTGCACAATGCCCAGGCTGGAGGACAGCAGGGCCTCAGTGCTGTTAGTAATGGTGGACTAACTGCTGAGAATCAGCAGCTGACTGCCCGGGCCCGAGCCTGGAACCATCTAGACTGGGCTCTCTATGTTCACTTCAACCGCAGTCTGTGGGCTCGGATAGAACAATATGGCCAGAGCCGGCTGGACAGTGCTGTGGCCCAACTCCGGGCTCGACGTGAAGCCCTAGCTAAACGCTGCCTGGTAGGCGGTGAGGCTTTAGACCCCAAATTTATCACTGACCGTCGGTTCCGCCCCTTCCAGTTTGGGTCGGCTAAAGTTTTGGGCTATAGACTTCGGAGTGGACTGAGCCCCCAGGACCAGGAGGAGTGTGAACGTCTGGCTACCCCCGAGCTACAGTACAAAGACAAGCTGGATGCCAAGCAGTTTCCTCCTACAGTACCACTGCCCAGCAAGACTTCAAGGCTACTCTCCCATAGGCAGATTTAGGCTGAAGAGAAGCTAAATTAAATAGAAGGGCTCATGTGATTAAGTATGGGGCAAGAATGAGTGGTTTTTTCAGAAAGGATGGAACTTTGTCCTAATGCAGGCTGCGTCCTCTGGCCCCTGCCTCAGAAACCCAGTCGTTCCCAGCAGGGCCTCCCTCCCACACCTGTTTTGTCTTTCCCCTTCCCATTCCCAAGGTAGGTCCTTGGAGAACTCTCCAAAGCCCCCTGGAGGGGCGAAAGATGAAGTGGGACAAAGTTTGGGGCATGGAGTTGGGATGACGCTTGCATTCTCTAGGTAATACTTGTTACTGGGCTATGTTCATTTCACTATGAGATGTTTGCTGAATGAATAAATCATTTGAAACGTTTACTTGATTTACATAGGGTGGAAAACGGAGAGAGTCTCCCTCAGAGAAGCGGGGCTAGAGGTTATTATTATTATTTTTTATTAATAAAGACGTTTTTAGACTCCCCTCCATTCCAGAGGAAGCCCTAAGCGCAGCCGAACCTTGCTCGCTCCTTTTCGGTGCTGGCACCCAAGGATTCCGGGACCTCGGAGGCCACACCCCTCACCTTCCGCTTCCGGTTTCTCGCCAGTCATTCGGCCCCGCACCCGGTTCCGACCCTGTCGGGTCCCGGTTCGAGCTGGTCTCCTGGGCCGCACCGGCTGCGCGCAGCACCCCTGGTTGTCGGGACCCGCCGGGGCTGGTCTCCGGCTCGGCCCACCTCGCCCCCCCATGGAGTCTCAGTGCGACTACTCGATGTACTTCCCGGCTGTGCCGCTGCCGCCGCGCGCGGAGCTGGCGGGGGGCCCGGGGCGGGGCCGGGCGGTGCCCCGACGGCACCA